TTGAGATTGACATCAGCTGGTCTTCCCAGACGATGATTGAGAACAATCCATGACACTGGCAGGTCTCAGCTTGGCAAAGGGGGCAATGCATGCTATAAATTCTGCAGGGTGCCCAAACTTTTGCAGACGCCATTTTTTTTGTTTTCTGTTATTTTGAAAGTGTAAATGATGGAAATAAAATCTAACTTTTGTTGACATATTATAAGAATGTCTAATCTGTAATTTGATGCCTTTTGGAGATTTTTCCATCTTTCCCTGGCTTCTTTATGCACATTAATACAAATTTTTAGCTGGGGTGCCCAAACTTTCGATCCCCACTGTATATACATGTGGACTGTACTCACTTGCATGGGAATCAAGTTCATTTTCACCAAGTGACCTTTCCCTAGTTGTGCCTCTGTTTCCATGACAGTAGAGGCTGCACCTGCTCATTTTGAACATTGGTCTCATAGCACCGTTATTGCATCCCCTTATGATACATGTATCCCCACTATGGTGGTGCACCCCGATGTGTTTGCTGCATGAGCAAAAGACCCTTGAGTCGTTGATTCTACAGCATATTACTGTATATGGCAGCAATGGGCAAACTACGGCCCGCGGGCTGTATACGGCCCGGGGGACCTTTTAATCCGGCCCGCGGAGCTAGGCTCCCACTAGGCTCCTCTCACAGTCCGCCCTGAAGACCGGTGTAGCATGAAAATCTGTCTCCTATGAGGATCTGTCCCCCTCGAACGTATCTGCGCATGTGCCGGAGATCGCCGATCGGCTGCTAATGCCTGAAACTGGCACATGCGCAGATACGTCGAGGGGACAGATCCTCATAGGAGACAGATTTTCATGCTACACCGGAACGGCGCGGGAACACGGCGAGAGGAACGCGCGGAGCAAAGGTAAGTGAATTGACACAGGGGGGACTTGGGGGCTTAATATTGGGGATTAATTACTATAGGGGGGATGAATTACTATGGGGGATGAATTACTATGGGGGATGAATTACTATATGGGGGATGAATTACTATGGGGGATGAATTACTATGGGGGATGAATTACTATATGGGGGATTAATTACTATATGGGGGATTAATTACTATGCTTACTATGGGGGAATATTACTATACTTACTATGGATGACACATACACATCATTCATCTACTCTTGGTCCGGCCCCCGGGTCCAATATATGAACCCATTGCGGCCCTCAAGTCAAAAAGTTTGCCCACCCCTGGTATATGGCCTAGTCATGATGTCCTCATTTTTTATTTGTTAGGTGTTAGGTTGTATTTGTACTGTGTGATTTTGAGGTCCAGATAAGTGCCCGTTCACATATGTGCGGATTGGATACGATTTGAACTGCATCCAATCCGCATGACGTGTGAAAAAACATTGCTTCCTATGGTGACTGTTCAAATACGTCCAGTGCACTGGTGGTGCAGATTCAGTGCGGTTTTAAAATGAGTCATGTCCGATTTCTGAGCAGTGTGGTCCAGTTCAGGTGCAGATTACAGGCTATTGACTTCTATGGGAACCTTTTCTAAACCGCATATGTGTGAACAAGATAAGATCCTGAACTAATCCTGTCCTGAACCTGACATAAACCTGACATGAACCTGTGAACAACTACTGTATCAATTAGCTATGAAACCTGAGTTTCAATCAGCACCGCACATGTGTGAATCAGCTCTGACTCTAGTCCAAGAACTTAAGAATAGCTACACTTCCAGAGCCCCATAAAACTGTCAGATGTAAGTTAAAGAGATAAGTGGACTAGGTGGCATGCACCTCAAATGACTTAGCTCATAGTGTGCCTGTAAATTTATTAAAGTGGTTGAATTCCTACAATTCAGCTTTAAGTTAACCCTATTCATCTAGACATGCCTGGCAAACACAGTCAAGCAGTAGATTTGTGCAGTATCACTTTATGACAGAGTACTCACTTTATCTGATGTCCACTATCTGAGTACCGCCTTGTTGTACATGGACTTGGCATCATTGGCTGGATAGGCTGACTAAGCAATAATCTGAATAATGAAAAAAGAAAACATTTTTAGGTTCAACTGCATATTGTATAAATAAAGTGTACCTAAGCCCAAGAGAAAAACATGTAAAATATTTGAGTCTTTTTCAGGTTTTTTTCATTTTTACCTTGTGATCATGCCAACAAAATACTTACTGTCCTAGGTTTACAATGCTCACCCATTGTTCTCTATCTATACAGGAACAGAGTTGTTACCCTAAGAAGTGTGTTAGGCTTACAGAACACCTCCCTTTTCCTCATCTCTATAATATGGGAAAGGGGTTGTTCTGTTCTGGGCATGATTGAGCAGGAACCAGTAAGATTTCGATCAATCTGTGGGCAGGCTGGTTGTACTGAAGTCGACTGATTGACTTCAGTACAACTAGCCTGTTGGGGTTTTTTGTATGATCACTGCTGCTGGCTATAGCCAGGAGGCATTCCCCCATCAACACTGACTGTGCTGTTTGGCGAATTGAGTGATTTTCTTTCCTTCAACCTGATTGATTGGTTCTGATTGGATGATAAGGGTTACTGCACACTGGAATTGCATTTACACTGCTTTTTTCTAATCCCAAATGGTAAAGGGGATCTCCACTCTAAATAAAAAGTGTACACTGGTTCATACTCCAGGCAAAATAAAAAAAAATTGGTAACATATCAACATTAAGTGAAATGCAGCTTAATTCCTCTGCTTGTTCTACAAAGAATACAGCTGTAGCAGAAATAATACCAAAATCAATTCATTTTTGTGTTTTCTATGTTTTACACACATTTTAGTTATTTATAGAGGTTAAATATTAAAGCTAGGTTTACATTTGAACTTAGGTTGAGGTTTATGGCTAAAAGTTATGTTGGGGGCTAGGGTAAATAATTTGATTTTAGATTTTCTGATATGACTAGTACATGAAAAAATTAGCTGCATTATAAGCGCTGTTGCTAAATAAATATTGGCAGTAAAAAAAAAAATGGTAGGTCTAATGCACTCATGCCACAAACAATTAAAATGATGTCACTGTCTACCTTCCTTATTCTTCTCCATCAAAGTAATATGTAAATTGCTATCATCAAGTAATACAAACTGTCATGCAATCATCCTCAAAATTAAGTTGGAAATTTTACCTTAATTGCCTGTCATGAGTAAAATCTGGGGCTCCCTGGCACTGGGTGCTGTCTTGCTGTGAATCACTAGAGGAATTTGTGTTGATATTCTGCAACAAACCTGTAGGATTGCTGAGCTGAGATGCAGTTCTGCTGGTCGAGTGGCTTCTGTTTGGTATGCTTTGCATGCTGCTCATTGATTTCTGTCCCTGAGACCAAGTTGAAGCTTTTAAAACTTTTATAACAGATTTTGAAAACTTACACATATGGAATATAAAAACAGATTTCATTTCATCTTGTTAAATGTGTGCTTCACTACATAGCTTGACTGCACTGCAAACAGTATGGTTACTGAAATCCACAAAAATTAACTAACATTAGTACAATGTAGTCAAACTATTTAGAAAGGAAATGTTAGATTAATTGCTAGCTGCGATTTCCACCAGCCCACAACTTTTACTGCTTGTCACTAGCTGAAACACTAAAAAAGAGCTGTACAACTGCAGTATCTGGCTCAGCAAAGGAAGGACATCTCTCTCTTTGAACAACTGAGCTAGACCTGTTTCAGACGTATCAAATCCTCTAAAAAATCTAATTAATGAGTAAAAGTAATAACATTAGTAAGAGTAGCACAAGATCAACCTGAGCATGCTCTTTGAAGTGCTAAGTACTGCTTTGTTTTAATTTTAGGCATATATACTGAAAGTTGATACCCACAATGACTGTAGTAGTGCAAGGATTGCTAACTTGACTGAATCAAAACTATATTAAACACAAAATCAAACATGTAATATTTCACAGCTTACCAATCATTAGATATATTGGCTGCATTAGTTTTTTAGGTTTTACCCTCTGTTTCACCTGGTGATCTGGCCAATACCACACCTCCTGTTTTAGAGTGGCTCCACTCTGGCTGAATGAGCACAGGGGGTACCTTTGGAAAGCAGCATTCTCAATCTGGGGGAGAGGGGATTCCTAGATGGACTAGCAGATTTAAAAATACAAAAAAATTTAAGCTAAACTCCCGCTAATAGTACTTTATAAGCAATTACAGCACAAGTTTTTTCCTTTTGGGGTAAAGACTTTATATAAATGAAAAAAGTTGATCATTGTAAGCACACCAGTCAGTGGTAAATGGTTTGTGTTATCCCTCTAAATGATACATCTGCAGGAGAGCATGTTCTTTTGAAAAACAACTGACTTACTGGCAGGATCACCAGATGAAAATAGAAGAAAGAAAGCCTGAAAAAGAAAACAAATGCAGCCATCACAACTAAGAATTGGTAAGCTGCAATATAGTTAATGTTAGCTTTTGGGCTTAATACTGCTTTAATACTCACAACCTCCTAATCTTAGTGTATTTCCTATCAGTTAATATTGTTTTTTCTTTTAAGGTTTAGGTATATTGTCCTAAACATAAATGAACCCACTTTTAGAGCTGGATTAAACAGCCTGGTCCCTTAATTTGATTAGTATCTAACTCTATGTTTATCTATATTATCCAAATAGCTAATTTATTAAAGGGTATCACACCTCCAATATTCATGTCTGTTAGCTGCACCAACAGAAGACATTTTGACCTCTTCAGCCTAATTGTATCAGCAGTACCCACTGTCCTACTTAATGTGAAAAAAGTCTCTCTGCAGAGTATTTTATACCTGTAAATCTAGCTTTCAATTACATCAAGCCTGTAGCTGAGTTTAGCACTGCTATATATGTTCAGTGCTTTGCAGTAACTTATAGCAATGCCAGTGTCATATCTGGCAGTAAAGGCCTTCAAACTGCTTCAGGTAGACATAAAAAACCAACAGAAATCTTTATTTCTTGTAATATTTGGGCAGTGATATCTGCCTTATATGGTATTGGTAATACAATGCGGCATACAAAACTAAAATATTATTACCTTGTTGGGTAGGACATTTGTATCTGGCAGCATGGGTTCTGATGATACTAGATCCTGGCTTGCAGTCTGGGAAGATGATATTTGTCCTTGAGCTGAAGAACTAGACATCAGCTGCTGTTGCATGTTAGACTGTTTATCCATTTGCTGTTGAGGCTCTGCTTGTTGCATATTGCTAAAGCTCATTGAAACAATTTGTGGCTGGTAAAACATCTAAAGAAAATTAAAAACAAAAATCATAATATTCAATCTGAACTTTAGGCAAGTAGCTAAATACACACATGAAGTATACACTGCTCAAAAAAATTAAAGGAATAGCATCAAGTAAATTAAACTCCTGGGATATTGATCTGGTCAGTTAAGTAGCAGAGGGGGTTGTTAATCAGATTCAACTGCTTTGGTGTTAATGAAATTTACAACAGGTGCACTAGATGGGCAACAATGAGACAACCCCAAAAACAGGAATGGTTTTACAGGTGGAGGCCACTAACATTTTTCCCCTACTCATCTTTTCTGACTGTTTTTCACTAGTTTTGCATTTGGCTAGGGTCAGTGTCACTACTGATAGCATGAGGCGATACCTGGACCTACAGAGGTTGCACAGGCAGTCCCACTCCTCCAGGATGGCACATCAATACGTGCCATTGCCAGAAGGTTTGCTGTTTTTCCCAGCACAGTTCTCAAGAGCATGGAGGAGATTCCAGGAGACAGGCAGTTACTCTAGGACAGCTGGATAGGGCCGTAGAAGGTCCTTAACCCATCAGAAGGACCGGTATCTGCTCCTTTGTGCAAGGAGGAACAGGATGAGCACTGCCAGAGCCCTACAAAATGACCTTCAGCAGGCCACTGGTGTGAATGTCTCTGACCAAACAATCAGAAACAGATTTCATGAGGGTGGCCTGAGGGCCAGACATCCTCTAGTGGGCCCTGTGCTCACTGCCCAGCACCAGAGCTCGATTGGCATTTGCCATTGAACACCAGAATTGGCAGATCTGACACTGGTGCCATGTGCTTTTCACAGATGAAAGCAGGTTCACTCTGAGCACATGTGACAGGCGTGAAAGGGTCTGGAGAAGCCGTGGAGAACTTTATGCTGCTTGTAACATTGTTCAGCATGACGTTTTGGTGGTGGGTCAGTGATGGTCTGGGGAGGCATAGACCTCTACAGACTAGACAATGGCACCCTGACTGCCATTAGGTATCGGGATGAAATCTTTGGGCCCATTGTCAGACCCTACGTTATAGCAGTGGGTTCTGGGTTCCTCCTGGTGCACGACAATGCACGGCCTAATGTGGGAAAGTATGCAGGCAGTTCCTGGAGGATGAAGGAATTGATACCATTGAATGGCCCCCACGCTTGCCTGACAAATCCAATAGAACACCTCTGGAATATCGTATTTCAGTCCATCCGATGCCACCAGGTTGCACCTCAGACTGTCTAGGAGCTCAGTGATGCGCTGGTCCAGATCTGGGAGGAAATACCCCAGGACACCATCCGTCGTCTCATTAGGAGCATACACTGATGTTGTCAGGCATGCATACAAGCACATGGGGCCATACAAACTACTAAGTACCATTTTAAGTTGCTGCAATGAAATTTCAGCAAACTGGACTAGCCTGCTGCATCATTTTTTCACTTTGATTTTCAGGGTGTCTTTGAATTCAGTCCCCTGTAGGTTGATCATGTTCATTTCTATCAAACGATGGGGCATCCTTACATTTCTAACACATTACCCAGTCCATATCAGTATAGATATCCAGCATGAGATTTTTTCCCATTGAGATCTGATGTGTTTTCAAAGTGCTCCTTTAATTTTTTTGAGCAGTGAATATGTGAAGACATAGCAAAAGCATGGAAGTCCCTCACCCTTAACCTGGTCAAGACTAGGAATAGGGTGGCACAAGCAATGGTCCCACGCAGTAGTTGAGGCTGTGCTACAGGACAGAGTTGCAAAATAAACAAAAATTTGGCAGCCGTGGGTTGATCACTACTTTTCCCCACACTTTGACACCATGCTTTTGCTGCAGTGTTGACAGCCTATACTCCCATGACGTTAAGACATTCCTTTGATATGGTTTCTAAGCAAGCCCCAGGACCCCATCCACTTTACCCACCTGTCCCCCTTCCCGCTTTTCTCCTTCATTCATTGGCAGCTGGAGATTTCCAAATAGCCAATCTCATGATTTCTAGTCTTTGGACATGCAAACCATTTACTGAGTATGCTCACAACTGGCAGCAATGCTTTTATATACCTTTTTGAACGTATACTCTAGCTCACCATTGCTGACCTGAATTCCCCATTATTGTTTACCCGTTTGGAAAGATCTTACTGCTGTACTTAATTTTATGAATATAGTATGTGAACAAGGTCTGTTATCTGGAAACCACAATAATTTATTCTATAACCCAACTGCCTTTCTGCTATTGCAATGTGTAAAATCAATGAATATGTTGAACAAGGAAATATATATGTGAGAGCTGTTTTAACTGCCAAAGGATTTGTATTGCTGTCCATCCAGTCCTGAGACTTACACAGCTCTCCTTACAGCACAGTCATGTCTGGTAAGGCAGGGCAGCTTCATTTTCATTTATAGGTTCCTTACCCACACCCTCCTTGTGACTGGACAGCACAAGGAGAAGCAACACACAAACAAATCATCTGCAAATCTGCTGCCTTCTCATATCTGCATGCTCCTGCATTGCAGTACAACTGAGTGTGCCACTTCTCCCTCCCTCTGAGCTCTGCTGTACAGACTGAACACTAGACTGCAAGAGGCTGATATACCAAATTCACTTTAGTTACTGAAAGTGATACTAAACCCACTGCCACAATTTTGTATTACTGCCATCTTTTATCAAGTTTAAATAGTATTATGTTTATACAAGAAAACTTATTCCTGCGCCAAAACTTTCCAAATAACACTCTAAAAATGCTGCTGTGCCAAGGACAAACACGATTAATTTATGCACCTATTTTATATTATTTATTATATTGATTAATCATCTAAATTTGCGCTGTTTATTTATACTTATACTTAAATAGTATTATATCTGGATGTATGACTCACATTAAAAAAAATCCTAAATACATTTTTAATGCCTTGTACACTCTTTAGTCATGTGACCACCCCCCCCCCCAGCTCCAATTCACAATGTGCAGTCGATGGGTGGGAGATAGCTATAGACCTCCATGCACACTGCAAAGTCACTACAATACAGTAGCAGCATAGCAGCAAGGCTCCCTGTGTTCTCACACAGGGAGTCATGCTTGATAGGGGATGCCTCTCCCTAGTTTACAGGCCTCATGCTTCACACAAAGCTTTAGGGGCCATTCACGGGCAATCTGTGAACTGTTCCTAAAGTCTGTGCTTTGTGTGAAACATGAGACTGGTAAACTATAGAGAGGAATACCCTAGCAATCATGACTCCTAATAGTACGGTTCCGCAGTCCTAACTTCCGGAATCGCCCTTCAACAGAGAAAAGTGAAGGGACTCAAAAGCAGAGTTTGTGGAGCATGTGCAGGATTGTCCCCTTCAGCCACAGAATCGGTTGCTATTTTGGGGACAGTGAAAGAGGGAGGAGAGTGGAAAGGAAATATCAATTAGGTATAATCAGGTTAAAGAAAAGTTGCACAGTATACTGTAGATAAAATACATCATTATAAATTCAAATGTCAAGAGAAAAGTTTTGGGTTTAGTGACACTTTAATACCTAGCTCAAGTTCAGCTTTAAGGTCTGTACCTCTTCAAAATCAACTATGTACAATACAAAAAGTTAAAATGTGCATTGATGACAATTATATCTGTTCTTTCACTTTAAAGCTGAAATTTAGTAAAAAAAATGTTTTTAGAAATACAGCACTGGGGACAAAACATTCCTCTAATGAAGTGTATCCTACATTCTGTTAGCTGATGGTTATTGTAAAAATCCTCATCCTTTATTGACGATGATTCCAGTTATTCATAGCTATTCTGCATAGCCACTGTATATGAAGTCTTCTGGCTATAAGCTGAGCTCAATGCCTAATCATGGCTGCAACTCTGCATCTCCAATAATAAGTAGTAACTCACCTGTGGATTGGAATCCTGGACCATATTCAGGGTCTCCAAGATCTTTTGTAGTTCCGTTTGTTGCCATCTTATGTTGGCTTGGATATCCTGTCTTCGTTGTTCCAGCTGATCCCTAATGGTTTGAAACATCTGTACAGAAAACTAAAAAAGGAACAGACTGTAGTTGGGTGTTCCCTCAATAGAATTTATTATAATGCAATGTCATATGGAAACAGCTAATTTTTTCATTGCAAACTACGATTTTACAGTCATTCGTTCTCAGATGAAAAGGAAAAAATACAGTAAGTTGACTGATAGTTAATTCCAGAGAGTTGAGCAATCACAGTTACTGTAATCAGAATAATAAGAACGTTAAATGTAAAAACCTGAAATCTAAATAGTTGATTGGGTTAGTAAACTTTAAATATTATCTTTATTGTCTATGTCTATAAAAAGTCAGACACAAATAATTTGCACATTGAATCTACTTATGATATTCTATGCAAAACTGTCACTTTGATTTTTAATGAGCAGTAGAAAAAAACCTACAAAAATTAAACATTCTGTGTACAATCTTGCATAAGTAATCAGAATAAAAATGAAAGACAAGGGGTCAATTCACATGTGCTTTGTTGCATTTGTTTTTAATCATCTGTTTAGAAATATCTAATCCACAAAAAAAGATTACTTCACATTATCAATAGAAATAACACATAAGGCGATTCTTGTAATATTTTATCAAATTGTGCATTATTTTAAGACTCATTACCATAAAAATGAATGTAAAAGTAGAATAAAGTAATGGATTCATTATTATGGGGTGTCATTATTATGCGACAGCAGAAAATATAGATTCAGGGAAAATAAAGTCTTTCAATAGTAATATTATGTAAAACAATACTGATACAATGACTTGGTTTCTTTAGTAAATATAGGCACTAATGGTACAAAGTGAAGCCAATGTGGGGGTGTTGGATTTTTAGACACATATAATACTTCTTCTAGTGTCTTGAGGCGATTATGAATGAAAGAGCCATTGAAATAAAAAATGAAGTGTGATTTTATTCTATCACACAATGGTGTAAAATAACAATGTAAAGCGTATTATGAACAGTTCCATGTAGATAAAACTACTGTAAAAATGACAAGCAAACGTTTAAAACAAAGTCACCATTATCTGTCATGGCTGTCCTTGCCATGTGCGATACTCCATGTCCTTGTCCGTCTCAATCTCTACTTGTCCTTCTCATGTCTCCTTGGGAAGAACCGGACGTGACTATATTGTAGCCGGAAGTGATCTCAGTATGCACCTGTTGCAGCTTCTCAGACGTGTGTATGCGAGAGTCATGTAGCGTGTAAGTGTGTGTGTGAGAGTCTCCTTGTCCGATGTCTCATGGTCTTTTATGAGGCAAATGTACGTCATAGTTAGTGATCTTAATACCTTCTATGGAAATTATTACTGCTTAGCAAAGCCATTTCATATAAGGAAGGGATGCTATACATATGATGTTTGATGGACAGGAACATATGTATGCTGATGTAAATAATATTATAAGCTAATGACGTAACCCTCAGCTATATTTAAAGAATATTATAGCTTAAGAACATATCAATGTATAATCACTAAACTATATATGTATCAATGTTAGAAACGTATACTAAATACACACAGATACTATTAAAATACATAATGTAATAGTAAGTCACTTCTAATAACCTTGACATAACTACCAGATACTTTATGCCTAAATAGTAGTATACTCAACCTTCAGCTGGTATATACTATCTCAGCTTAACTTGTATATCTTTTGGTTTCAGCTATAATTGAAGAATAGTAATACTACCATTTGTCAATAGACCACTTACACATATTAATATTAATTATGACTAATCATAAAAACCAAATATTTTGCAAGCTTGCCATCAATATAAGTGCCGAATCATAATTTAGATTTAACAGTGGGTAGCATGGTTAACTACAATGACAGCTGTCCAGATCTGGTAGGGATGCCTTACACATTGCCGGAAATCCTTCCTTCCAAGTTGGAAGGAGCAAATAGCACACAATGAGAGGAATCCTTATACACAATGATCACCTATAAAGATGTACGTTTTTTAAATTACAATACAATCTTAAGTGTGGCAGTTATCAGTAAACCAACCTCAGACTGCAATTCATTATTTTAAAGTGTAATTTTATTGTTTTGAAAACTGTGAACACACACATGGAAGAAACAATAGGTTTCACAAGATTACTTACATGTACCCACTAGTAATAAGGCATATTTTTGTCAATGGATCCCCAGTCCCCAGCACATTAAGCTGGGAAGTCCTTCCCCATGTATATATACTTCCTATAACATCAACATTTTCTGAACAAGTAAGGCTTTTTTGTAGACACAGAGGTATATTTATATCTCCATTATACTCTGCATTTTACAAGTCTATGAGGTTCTCTGCTTAATTCAGCAGAGAGAGCTCTATGTGTGCCAGAGAGGCAGCCATGTGACTTTGAGAGGTCACATTACTACTCTCTGGCCGTTTTTATTACACTCATTCATTTGTATTGCACGCTGGCAGATTTGGACTGCTGAGCTTTGTGCGCAGCATTAGTTTTTCTTTTTAAATCAGCTGTATGTACTCCTTTGTAGTTTACAAATATGATGGTCTTCTAGCAAGCATTATGATAAATGAGGCCACCCTCTATTTCCTTAGCTGACTCGCGATAGGACCTAATAAACAATTCTTAGGATCTACACACAAACCATCATGAATAATCTTCCTCTCTGGTTTCCAATAGGATTGTACAAAAAGACAATTCCACCAACAATGCAAGAATATGTTAATATTCACACATCTTCAGCCATTACTTCTACGAATGTAGGGGTCACCGCAGCTTGAAGCTCCTTATGTCAGCTCACTTTAGCGACCATGAACTTTCACTGAAATAGTACCTGACGCTTTGGGGTTGATTTACCAAAACTGGAGAGTGCAAAATCTGGTGCAGCTGTGAATGGTGGCCAATCAGCTTCTAATTTCAGCTTGTTCAAGTAAGCTTTGACATAAAAACCTGGAAGATGATTGGTTTCTATGCAGACTTGCAAAGATTTTGCACACCCCAGTTTTAATAAATCTACCCCTTTATCTTTAACAGAATGTTCCTTTTTAGCCAGTGTCCCCTTCAGTGTCAGTGTTCCTTTCTCCCCTTCCCTTCCCCCATTGAGGATTGTGCCTTTCTGCATTGGATCTCAGAGGTGTAGGCACCAGCTTCTTCAACTGTCATCTTACTTCTGATGCAAGCTCACTGATTGCTTCAGTGATCAGTGTGCTTGCAGCATTCAAAAGGTACACAACACTCTGGATGCAATCCAGGAACCAAACGGTTTTTAATCACATACACAAAAACTCTGCACTTTTGTGCCTCCTCTTCTGTGCTTCCTTCCATCTGCTCTTACTGGCTTTTGCAAGCTTACTAATCTTGTCATTGATTAGCGAGCTTTCAACCCAAAACATTTGTGCAGCTTTGTGAATGTTATCTGGCAGAAAAATGGCTGTCGACCAAACCCTCAAGGCTACAGCGAGTGTGCCCCTGAAACCCACTGCCCCTCTCCCCCTCCTGCTGCCCCCCTCAGATTTTACTGGCAATTTCCAGCTGTCACATTACAGCTGTGACCTGTGAAGCATTACAGCAGTGGCAGGAGCAATTGCTGTCAAACATGGACTCAGAAGAAATGCTAAGAAGTAATAATGTTACTTTGCATTTCTTCTAAAGAGTCTGAGCATTGTTTGTAAAAACTCCATGCTCATAGCCACACCTCTCCAATGTGTTTCACCCCGATGGGGCCTAATCGTAGTGATAGTGGTGACTAGGCTCAAAGTACAATATATATATATTTATACACACAGTTGTGCTCAAAAGTTTACATACCCTGGCAGAAATTGTGAAATTTTGGCATTGATATTGAAAATATGACTGATCATGCCAAACAATGCTCTTTTATTGAAGGATGATGATCATATGAAGCCATTTATTATCAAATAGTTGTTTGGCTCCTTTTTAAATCATAATGATAACAGAAATCACCCAAATGGCCATGATCAAAAGTTTACATACCCTGGAATGTTTGGCCTTGGTACAGACACACAAGGTGACACACACGGGTTATAATGCCAATTAGAGGTTAATGTCCCACATCTGCGGCTTTTTAAATTTCAATTAGTGTCAGTGTATAAATAGTCAATGAGTTTGTTTGCTCTTATGTGGAAGCACTGACTAGGCTAGATACTGAGCCATGGGGATCAGAAAAGAACTGTCAAAAGTCCTGCGTAACAAGGTAATGGAACTTTATAAAGATGGAAAAGGACATACAAAGATGTCCAAAGCCTTGGATATGCCAATCAGTACTGTTAAATCACCTATTAAGAAGTGGAAAGTTCGGGGATCTCTTGATACCAAGCCAAGTACAGGTAGACCAAGAAAGATTGCAGCCATAACTGACAGAAGAATTGTCTGGGATTCAAAGAAAAACCCACAGGCAACCTCAAAAGAAATACAGGCTGCTCTGGAAAAAGGCGGTGTGGTTGTTTTTAAGGTGATACTTGAACAAAAATTAGCTGTTTGGTTGAGGTGCCAGAAAGAAGCTTTTATTGCACCAATGAAAAAGCCCGGTTACAATATGCCTGACAACATCTTGACATGCCGAACCGGGCCTTCTTGTGTCATTGATGCAGTAAAGGCTTCTTTCTGGCACCTCGACCATGCAGCTCATTTTTGTTCAAGTGTCATCATATTGTGCTCCTTCAAAACAACCACACTCTCTTTTTCCAGAGCAACCTGTATTTTTCTTGTGGTTATCTATGGGTTTCCCTTTGTATCCCAAACAATTCTTCTGGTAGTTGTGGCTGCAATCTTTCTTAGTCTACGAGTACTTGGCTTGGTATCAAGAGGTCCCTGAATTTTCTACTTCTTAGTGGAAGTGATGACTGGCATATTCATGGCTTTGGACATTTTTTTTTATCCTTTTCCATCTTTATAAAGTTCCATTACCTTGTTACGCAGGACTTTTGACAGTTCTTTTCTGATCCCCATGGCTCAGTATCTAGCCTAGTCAGTGGTTCCACGTAAGAGCTAACAAACTCATTGACTATTTATACATTGACACTAATTGCAATTTAAAAAATTACAGATGTGGGACATTAACCTCTAATTGGCAATTTAACCCGTGTGTGTCACCTTGTGTGTCTGTACCACGCTAAAACATTCCAGGGTATGTAAACTTTTGATCATGGCCATTTGGGTGATTTCTGTTATCATTATGACTTAAAAAGGAGCCAAACAACTATTTGATAATAAATGGCTTCATATGATCATCATCCTTCAATAAAAGAGCATTTCTGGGCGTGATCAGTCATATTTTCAATATCACTGCCAAATTTTCACAATTTCTGCCAGGGTATGCAAAGTTTTGAGCACAACTGTGTATATATATATATATATATATATATATATATATACACACACACACACATGTTTATACACAGTATATGACTTCTTGAGGGGTTTAAGAATGGTAGCTCACATTTTAGTCCCTGAATTTCCCAAATTGTCCCTCTTTTTTGGCCAAATTATTTTCTTTTGAGTTAGATCGGTTGACCCCCAAAACTGCCAAATTTATCTAAAAAAGAGGCATGTCTATATTGGAGACAATTAAATATATAATTTATATATCATTTATATAATTTACAAGGATAGTGTTGCTGAAAGCAGACATACCTACCTGTGTTCTAGATGGTGAATCGCTGAGTAGCTGATTTTGTGGTAAAAACTGTTGTTGGAGGAGGTCACACTGCTGTGATGGTGCTGAAGCCTACACAGGTTCAAAACATTATGATAAATTATATATAAAAAAGTCACAAAAAAAATAAAATATGTATTGTACTGGCTTAATATGTGTTATCTATCCTATCCTTTTGGATGCTGGTTTTAATACCCCAACTTTCCCTTGCCTATTCTTTTTGAGTACCCATCCACAATCATGTCCCTGCTATCATTTTATCTGAAGATTTTTTAGAACAAGAAACAGACCAGAATTTGTACTGACAACACCTCTTTACTTCCACTTGAGAATATTTTGGTAATTCATACCTGTGTCAGGTTTGGTTGATTCACTACCTGCAATGACAGTTCAGTTGGCCTATTGGAGACTCTCTGCAGTGACTGTGGGCTGGAGTCTGTAGTCAGCTTTGTGGGAGTAGCTGTAGGAAACAGTATGAATTACATTTAATTAGCTTAATGACTGATCATATGACATTACATTGTAATGTGGCACTTAATATACTTAGGACCTAAAATACTCCCTATTCCCCCCGCAGGTTTGTACTTACTTCTCCTGACATCTGCAGCCCCTAGTGCTGTCTGAAGCATGGTTGATAAAAATCTAGGGCCAGGCAAGGACGTGGTGACGCAATTTGCGGCGTGGACGCCATATTGGTACTCCAATACACATCCATGCAAGTACACCCACAGCATGTGGTTCTCAATGCTTATGTAAAAGCTGTATAAATGTGAGTGGGCATTCAGTTTTACTACTTCTTTTAATTAAATTATGACGTTATCACACTATGGGAGCATCTTTTTTTCTATTTATTCTGACTGCATGAGAATTGACTGATTCTATTTTTTACTGCCCTGGAGAGGGTTCCTGCTCTTCCGGTATCCATCAGTGAGGGGGATTAATCCGTTGTTGTACCTGATACCTTCTGAAGTGGGTCCTGGTTGGTGCGATATTGTGTGAAAAAGGCATTTTGGCCCTGTAGGGTCACTCCATGGGGGTGAGGGGCATTTCGCTTAGTGTCGGATCTCCTATTTTTGCGTATACACCTTTAAAACACCAGCACAATCTAAGAACTTCAAAACACCTACGCCGTTTAAGGTGTATTGGACTTCATGGTTTTGGCTGGATTATATGGAGTTTATGTGATTCATTATATGTTGGGTCATTCATATATATATCTTTTTGGGACTAATTTTGGTCCATATAGCTCATGTCACTTATCCAATTACGTATCCACTTATCCCCGATTTAGGGGTCACTGTTCTGTGGTTTTCACTTTTATTTATTCATCACTATTTTTCACTTTTATCCGTATGTTCTGTTTGATTATTTTCTTTAGCAACAGAGTTGCGTTGCATAAGCCTTGTGGCTTATTTCCACTATATACAGTTTTAAACTGTTTTTTGGTTTTTCACTTCCACCCATTTTCACTATGTTCACTGTGAATACGTATATTTTGTGATTATCCTTTATAGCAACGGTTCAGTTGCGTTGCAGAAGTCTTGTGGCTTATTTTTCACATTATAATAAGCACTGTTCTTTTGAGATCCTATTTATGGATCATATCATTGTTTATGTTGGCACAATTTATTGGATAAAAAGTAGTGTATATTTTCACCCATAGTCACCTATTTACTACTAGTAGTGTACCTAGGTTACGCCTTTTTTATGTTTGGGTGTTCTTCACTTTTATCCATATTTTTGGATGTTTCATGTGTATTCTATTCAATATATATGTTTGGATTTGGTTTATATAATCATTGTATTTTTTATTTTACTATGAATTATATTATTACTATATTGTGAGGAATATTTCTATAAGGAGTTTTTATCATACTCAGATAAAGCGCGGCACCAATTAGCTTTCTATTTGTAATTTTCCCATTTGGTATATGGTAAGGTGTTAGCAACTTTTTGTAATATTGATTAGGAGACCTAGAGCGTGGGAGGACCATATAGATATATTTGAATCCCATGTACAATCCTCTGTTAATTCCACAACCAGTTGTGATGACTCTTTACACCATCAATGATACATGGATGTGCACTCACCAATTTGGTTGAACCTCTTAAATTACATTAGGTCAGAAAGGGCTTGCATCCCCTCAAGTGGATATACCTGAATCCTAATTAACAGAACAGATAGATATTACCAAAAAACAAAACATCATAGTGCTTTCTATTATAATATTTATTAAAAATGCTCTAAAACAAGTATAACAACACTCACACCGTACTGGGGGATGTAATGAGTAAAGCTGAGTGCCATTCTGTGACATTATCATGCTGGGCGAGTGCATTCTGCTGAGGAGAGAGATATGGGTTGTATGTTAATTCCCGTGGCAGACATGATGACAGCTGGTGTTTCAGGTAGGTCTCCACCTAATGATTTACACTATTTGTTTATATAGAATGTGAGTGTTGTTGTACCTATTTTAGAGCAGTTTTAATAAATATTATAATAGAAAGCACTAAACGTTCTATTAAAATGGATATGGGTGTATAAGAAGGATTACCCGTGGAGATGCAAGCACTTTCTAACTTTCTGTAATTTAAGAGGTTGAACCAAATAGGTGAGTGCCCATCCATATACAACTCCCATGTATAAAATTATCTTGAATTGCCTTTGGAATGTTTTTATTTGCATATAAGCAGCAGGAGCTAGTTTTAAATACAATTCTGTTACACAAGCATCTCTGCCAACATTTGTTTACTCACGTGCACGTTCTGAGGTTAGAGGCTGAGAAGATTTGTGGGAACTTCTTGAAGAATCCGATGGAGTGCAGCTGGGGCTGAGAAGTGAGGCACTAACTTGTAGGACACTGTAACGCTGGTCACTGTCCACACTCAGGTCCTTGTCCTAGCATATATATACATTTATATAAATATTCGAAGCACAAGTCAGAATATGTAGTTACTTCTTTATAAATATGTAGTTACTACTTTATAATGACTGACATAAATGTCAAATTTGAGTAGCTGAGATGTGACATAAATATAAAGATTTTAGTAGCTAAGATGTGACATAAATATAAAGATTTGAGTAGCTGAGATGTGACCTGTAGAAAATATGACAATATAGATTTAGCATTCCATGTTATAATAATATAAGATGTGTTCAGGATTCAGTCAGAGGCATATGGTCACCAATTAGCATCTGAAAGAGACAGAACTTCCTCTGGAAGGAGGTGACACCTACATGCCAATAAGATTTGTTACCTTCTGGGAAACCTGGAAGGAAAGGGCTCTAGACGGGTTGGCTTCATGACACAGCGGGAGACCAGAGCTTTGAAGTATAACAGTAGATCAAAGGAATATGTTTCATCTCTCATAAAAGCTAAAATATTAGTTGCAGAGAGTTTAAAATACTTCCTTCTGATTGGACACTCTGTGGGCTACATCTGCATGAAAAAACTGTATTTGTGACCTATGTAGAATGCCAGAAAAATGCAGGAAATGGTTATGTGGCGGCAGATCGTGACAGCTGAACGGTGATTGGTACTGTCGCGATCGGAGTGATGCACTGGTGTCGGAAATTCAATCCCTGACTTGGTGATTCAAACCCTTCCTGGTCCAATTGACTTTGGGCATTTCAGGACCCAGAACATCCTGTGGGCGGGTACAGGAACACCCCCCAGAGTCAACTGGCCAAGGACTCATGTCCAGCCCACGTCAATATTCCCATAAATTGAGGACTTGAGGTATGGACGTTGTGATTCGTATGAAGCTAGTTCGATCGACTAACGGATTGCTGAATTTCCCTGACTTGCTCCAGTCACAGGATAAATCTTGGTAAAAGTTTTATTTCTGTTTTTTATTCTCTTTTATTTTATAGTGAATAGTCAATTGTGTGTCTTCTTGTATTTTTGGTATTTTCTGTAACTTTTATACTTTGTACATATTTTATGCACTGCCCACTTTCGGGATATTAAATCTTAAAATTAATAAGTGACTTCTGGGTACTTAAGCGGGCTTATATCTCCGGAGAGATTAGATTGTATTGTATTTTAGTGTCTTTAAATGCTTGGTCAATTTCATTGCCTATCTGTATGCAATTGCACTGTGTGTTGGCAGATTGCAAAGGTAGCAGATCTGCCAGATGGAGATCTGTGTGTGTGTGTGGTGTCCCAACAGACCGTTCTGCGGATAAACTGTTGGGTGGTGGCAAGCTACCGTTTGTGGTGTGTCTGGTGTGTGGACAGTGGAAGAGTGATTTACACCGGGGTTCTGGCTTGTAGGATAGCTGGAGGAATCCTAAAAGGGTGTGTGATTGCTAGGCTGCTCCTCAACCCTAGTTAGTGCATCAGATTGTATGTAAGAGTTGTATCTGCCAGTGTGCGGTTGGCCGGTTGGATTGGAGTGAAGTCTCCCTCCAGTGGTGGCCAAGAGGTAGTGCGAGCTGTGAAAGTGTATCACGACCGGTCCTATATATTTTATATATTAGAAGTTAAGTCCCCCTTATTCCCTCTTACCCCAAGTCACGGCCACACGTGCACACCTCGGTTAGCTAGTCGCTGTGGGCGTGGCATGTGGGTGAACCATGACAGTGACATACTATTTCACTTAGCCCTATCTGGGGAATGCATAAAGGGTGTGTTTAGAATTCAGTCGGGGCACAACACTGAAAGTGATGGGGCTTGCCCTTGATTCATGGACCATTCAGAGCCACCCATATATGCATGCTCCTGGGACTATGCTATGTATGCAAATTTCTGCCACAGATAGCCCAGTCTGTTAACTGCAGAAATGCCCTATCCATTTTATATTGACAGCTGGTTTCTGTGTGATTGGCCTTTGCGTGTGTGATTTAACTGCACACTCCTGAAAAGGAAGTTCAGGGAAGTGGTAGAGCCTGAGCAAAGACTGTGAAAAAAATTATGTTTCGAAGCAAAAAAACATTAAAAGCACTGCTATTAACATTGAAGGAGATGGAAACAATAAATGATAGTTAAGGGTTTAATACTACTTTACATGATAACCATAACTTTTCTTAAATTACAGTATATCTATGTAGTTATGTTTCATCAACTCTGCATAGTATAAGAGCATGTTTGGCGGTGGAGTATGTACAGATACTTATCTACTACTGCCCAACAGTCTTATTTGTGGGTGAGTCCTTGTCATTCTCCTGTACAATGCAGGACTGCTGATCCTGCATTGCACATGGTGACATCAAAGACTCACATTTAACCTATGCAGTGCGCGGGGGGGGGGGGGGTATGTTATCACATTGCACGGCTAAAAAGAAGCCCAGAGTGGAGATTTAATCTTTGTTCTTTGTAATACACTGCAGACGGATTTCCCACAGCAACTCACATATGGGGTGTTTGCTTTCTGAAGCCTATGCTGCAAAACATCATCTATCTCTGCATGATATAGCCAGGGAAAGGCAGGCTTAACTTTGGCAGTTGGCTTTTAAAATTCTTACTACTTATATGATCATACAGTCATGGCCAAAAATATTGGCACCCCTGCATTTCTGTCAGATAATACACCACTTAGCCCAGAAAACTGTTGCAATTACAAATGTTTAGGCATTGTCATGTTTATTTCTTTCTTTTGTATTGGTATGACACACAAAAATAGAGAAACAGAAAGCCAAATTTGACATTCCACACAAAACCCCAAAAATGGACTGGACAAAATTATTGGCACCCTCAATTGAATATTTGGTAGCACACCCCTTGGGAAAAATAGCTGAAATCAATTGCTTCCGTTAACCATCAATGAGTTTCTTACACCTCTACTGGACTTTTAGGACCACGCTTCTTTCACTATCTGCTCCAGGTCTCTCAGATTTAAAGGGTTCTTTTCCCATCTGCTGTTTTGAGATGTATCCACAGGTGCTCTATCGGATTGAGATCTAGACTCATTGCTAACCAGTTTAGTACTCACCAGTTCTTTGTCTGAAACCATTTTTGGGTGCTTTGGGTCATTGTCCTGCTGTAAGACCCATGATCTCTGACGGAAATCCAACTTTCTGACACTGGGCCCTACATTGTACTCCAGAATTATTTGATAGTCTTCAGATTTCATAATGCCATGCATATGGTCAAGACATCCAGTGCCTGAAGCAACAAAGCAGCCCCAAAACATCAGTGAACCCCCACCATGCTTGACTGTAAGGACTGTATTCTTTTCTTTAAAGGCCTCATTTCTTTTCCTGAAAACAGTAGAATGATAGGCTTTACCAAAAATCTGAAATTTTATTTCTTCTCTCCACAGCACATTCTCCCAAAAAGGATTTTGCCTTCCTCAGGTAAGTTTTGGCAAACTCCAATCTGGCTTTTTATGTTTCTGTGTCAGCAATGGGGTCCTCCTGGATCTCCCACCATAGCGTCCCTTTTCATTCAGAGCTGACACAGTTGTACCCTGTGCCTGAAAGTCAGCTTGAATTTGTCTAGAAGTTGATTGAGGTTCTTTAGCCACCATTGGAACATTCCTTTGTTGCAATCTTTGATCAATTTTTCTCTTTTGTCCATGTTCAGGGAGATTATCTACAGTGCCAGGGCCTGTAAACTTCTTGGCAATGTTGCACACAGTGGACTAAGGAACATTAAGATCTCTGGAGGTTGACTTGCAACCTTGAGATTGTCCATGCTTTTCCACAATTTTTGTTCTCAAATCCTTAGACAATTATTTGCTGCTCTCTCTCTTCTCTATGCTCCATGTGGTACACAGAGACACACAACAGAAAGGTTGAGTTAATTTTTCATCATTTTAACTGGTCTTCGGTGTGTTTACTATACTGTCCACACCTGTTAATTGGTAAAGGTAAGTTTAATTACAAATTACAGGAGCATCACCAACTTGGAATGCAATTATTTCTTACAACTTTGAAAAGGTGCCAATAATTTTGTCTATTCCATTTTTGGAGTTTTGTGTGAATTGTGTCAGAATTTTTAATTTTTTTGTTTCTCCACTGTTTTGTGACATACCAATACAAACATAAGAAAAAAACATGAGAATGCCAAAACATTTGTAATAGCACCAATGTTCTTGGCAAAGTGGTGCATTATCTGACAGAAATGCAGGGGTGTCAATATTTTGGCCATGGCTGTACATAAGGCTTTATGTATGTGAGATATAGCATGGATTCTACAGCAGCTGAATCTAATTCTTTATTACAAACAGGTAAGGCATAGGAGTTCCTACATCAACAGATTACCCATAGCAGGAAGGCTCTATTCCCTGATTGCGTTTTAGGGACTGATGAAGTATAACTAAAAAAAGAAGATCTGATTTTAAAGCAGGTAATCACTTTCAACTGGACTTCTGAAAAGGTGAAGATATTTTGCTACCAATTCAGCTAGCTTCCTCATCTCTAATGAGTTTGAGGAACATACTCAGAATTACAGTCAGCCATTGAATTTGGGTGATCGAGTTACAATGGCAGTGATAAATGATGAGATATGTCCCTGACACTCATTAGAACAAAGGAAGCTGCTAAGATTAGCAGTGAAACATCTATAGTACAAGTAAGTAATCAACAATAAACAGTTGAATACGACTAACTACTATACCATAACCTGTATAGATAAGAACTTTCAGACAGATAATACTTTTAGCAGACTTCACTTTTTATCTTGTAATTACAGGTAAGCCAATAATAAAGCTTACTTGTAGGTACAGTGAATATCTCCTAAAAACGTGCACTGTTTAGGAGATATTTACCTGTATAGTAGGCGGTGACATCACCAGGAGGGAGCTGTGCTGCAACCGTGTCTCCCGCACGCATGCGGGTGAAGACAGACAACTCGGCGCTGGAGGGATCTGTTTTTTTAGGTAAGTCTGTTCTGCAAACACTGTTTACTACCGCTTTGGAGAATATAATTATTTTTGTTTATTGAGAACTCTGACAACCTCTGTGAACAGCAAGGGTCATTGATATTAATAGTCTGGAAAGACCCACAAGCATGCAATAGTGCTATCATGCTTGCAGCAAAATGATGTTACATTTGGCTTAGCAAAGCAGAATTCTTCCTGCTACAGTGATCATTTACTGTCATGCTTGCAGCTGCTCACATTTCATAATTACTAGTTTTTAGTCATACACTTATGTTAGTTTTTCTAACTTCAATAAAAAGCGTGAAAACATTTTTGCTTGGTGGTTGTTATGTTGTAAAGCACAATGGTAAAATATCCTTGGTATTTGTACAAGTTTACAGTTCATGAATGTATGATTTTTAAAATCCAACTTCATCCAAAGACCTTTTTTATTTTTTTGTTTTAGATAGCATAAGTGTTAGAACCTCTTTTGGGGTCCGATCCCACCAAAACCTGAGTTCCATGCACGTTTCCCCGTGTTCAAAACACATGGGTATGATCTGCTGTGGGTGTCCATGTAATCCTAATGACACCCCAAACGCACTTGCCTGTACCAAATTGCATGTGATCTGGTTATGGTGCGCCACTAAAAGTAGTGTATGCACTACTTTTGGTGCGATTCAGTGAGTTTTCAACTCTTTCAAATGAATAAGCTGAAGATCACATTGCACAGAATAGCGCAGGAAAGCGAAGTGTGTTCCTGTGTGATTCTGGTGTGATTCTGGTGTAAACTGGAAATTTCCCCTCACTTTCTGTACCAGTGAATGGGGGAAATCAGAAGGACAAGGAATGATCAGAAAACCAATCAATCGGGACAGAGATAGCAATAAAAACATATATTCTGGTACAGTGGGAAAATGTAGAACCTCTACTAGTTTTCCACTGCTGCATGTGACTCCCTGTCTCTTTGACTCTTGGTACATCATTTCTTGTGTTGTTCCCGATGGCACAATTACAAAAAGTGACGGAAAATCTTTCCAATGAGTTGCAGACAGCAAAAAAACCTGACAGAAGTTTTAACCTATATGAATTTCTTTACAATTACAAGTTTTGGCTGGCTTCTTGCTACAGTCAGTTTAAGTACTGTGTATGTTACAACAGCACAGGGACATGCTGTACATATTTAAAGTATTCTGTAAAACAATAAAAAAGCAATATGTAATATAAAAACATGCATTACCTTTAGTGCAGATGTGACAATGACTTCTGAGGAGGTGTCATCCAAGCTCACTTTCTGTCTTCTTTCTACTTGCACATCTGCATAACTAACAACAGAGATAATATATTGTACAGGAAAAAAACTCTGTATGTCCTATTATTTAAACATTCTGTATCCTGTTTTACCCTGATCGACTGAGAAGGCAATGAAAATGCTTAGTTTATAAGTGGTCATTAACGTTCCTTCCCTGACATCTCCCTGGCATCACACTAATAAGTTAAAGGATAAGTTCACCTTTCATAGCATGTTACACCCACATTCAAGGTGTAACATATACAAACAAACAGGCTGACCCTTGCACCCTCCTGATCCCCCATTGTGACAGCTAGCAGGGGACCTTCTCCCCCCGCTAGCTGTCACAATTTAAAAAAAACGCAGCTGTGCGGGGCTCTGCCCTCCCGGCAATGTCACTCATTCACAGTGTTTTGTGAATGAGAAAACTAAAAGTCCTGGCAGCCTTTGCGGCTGTCTACTTGTAGTTCTCAATGAACAACCACAGCACTGTGAGCTCTGTGGTAGTGAGTCTTCCTGTCATGTGTATTTCACTATAGCAGATGCACTGCTGCACTTCCAAATAGCAGTGGTATTGATTGAATGTTATCCTATATTCTCTGTAAAGGTAAATGGGGACACTTTTGTGCATGGGTTCTTTGTCTTTCAAATGTATTTCAAATGATCTTAAAGTGTACAATATATGTGCTCAGACAGACAGGTGAAGTATAACAGTCCAGAACCAGAGGACTAGCTATTCTGCACAACCAGGCAGATCACTGTATTAATAATGAGTGGTCACCACATATTTCAGGTATTTCCTCTATACAGATAGGAAGATATCTTCCATAGCAGCCTTTTTCAAGTGGGGTACTGTCGCAAAAAGCCTAAAAAGACTGTAGCAGTATTAGTGCACTTGCAACAAGAACAATTAAGTACTGTCCCTAAAACGTTTTTTTTCTATTTGTGTTAACTTCCCAATCCTGTCCTGAAAATCTGGATGTTAGTGCAAATAAAAAAGTATCATGGACAGTACTCAATTGTTCTTGTCCCAAGTTTCCCAAAAATTGTCAACGAGCGGGCAGGTGGATCAAGCCTGCCCTTTTTGCTACACAAAGCCTCATGTTTTTATTGTGCCGCATTACAATCTTAGGCACCATGTGGGCCGGCCATCGGCATCCTAACAAACCGACAAGTTCATAGGTTGATAAGGAACACGTCAGGTGTCTTCACAGCATCCTTGTTTGCCCCTTCCCTGCACCTTTCCAGCAGCATCAGTTATGTTAGCTAAGGTAAGGGTGTAAGGGAGGGAAACTAAAGAGAGAAATGCTTGGATACTAGTCAGTACCAGTGTGCAAAGGTATATTTGCTTTAAAAAATAAATCACCTCTGATGTTCAGTGAACATCTGTGAATGCTCTGCTCTTGTGATGTAAATGGCAGTGAGGTTCACAAACCCTAAAGTTTATTTCAACGTTTGCAGTCAAATTGTTGAAAACCTTGCTATATGTTTGTTATGTGTCTCCATTCACACAGCATGCGTAACATTTTTTTTTTTAATATTTCTTACCTTTTAGATGTTTCTCAGGAGAAGGTGTCATGACTGACTGCATGGGTTTTTTTGAACAATGTTAAGCCGGGCATACACATATCGAAATGTGGCAGGAACTAGACAAAGAATCCAGAATAAAGCATCTAAAAACGGTAAGCTGCAATTTTTATTTTTTAAGTATGTTATGTGACTGGAAACATGTAAAACATAAAAGGTAGGGGTTACCCCAATTTGACTGCAAAAGTGGCAATACACTTTAAAACTTCACCTATCAGCTGAGTGGTACTATCCTCAAAACTGCAAACCTACTCAAAGCTTGTCAGCTTTCTTCAGCTTTGTTTTGGGTATTAGTTAAAAGAGAACGATTACCTGAGTCTCAATAAAAGAATCAGCCATTGAGTAACAGGAATTGTAGCAGAGAGGATAGAGACTTCGGTTTTCCAGCTGATATTTAAATCTCCTGAATTTTCTCCCACATTAATTGTCACAGAAAGCAAGAGATGACTACATACCTTACAACAGTGTGTGTACATACAATAAACTCTGGTTTGGAGTTCCACTGATGATATGTGATATAGTAATGAGTCTGAAGCCAGATCCATTGTTGACCTTTAGTTAGAAACCGATAGCAGCAAGACTTTCCCTTACCAAACTGCATTACTATAAAAAAAATTTAAAAAATATAACATTGGTAATGAAAACATTTTGGGGTTTAGGTTTACCTGTACTGCAGTCTGTTATGATTAACTACATGGTTGTCTTGCTGCATTCTGCACTCCCCACATTTGTTAAGTCTACAGGTCATACCTGGTACTGTGACTCCCTCAGATAAAATGGCTCTCTTTGAGTTTCAGTATATCTGAATAGCACAAACATAACCATTACTGCAGATATCATTTTTTGTTTTCTCTATCACATTTGGCACAGTCAACAACAGCACCATGAACATGTGAGGCGACATTTGATAGTAAATTGAATTTTATCGCATGTACGTCACCAGTTAATTGTGACTTTATTTTTCTGTTGCTGCTGGGATATGTGTGGCATATTCTGCCAGATCATCTTTAGCATGGCCTATGTTTGTACCACTGACTAATGCTGCTGCATTCCTGTCTGTATGTAAAAAAAAATATTTTAAAAAAGGAAGACAACTGAACACCAGTACTATGCACAACAAATGATAAAATTTTTTTTTTTTTTTGCAGTGCTGGTCGATTGGCTAAAATCTGCAGGGTGGTTGAACGGTTGATCGATAGATCGAAATTCGGCTGAACCATGTATTAGCCTTTCTGAGCCCTGGAACCCTAAGTTTCCACCAGAAGCTGCTTAGGGTTCCTTGCGCAGTAAGCAATTTCTACCTCTCATTATCAGTGACATTAATGGTCAGTTCAGCTATTTGTAGGAATCAGGAGCGGACTGACCATTTAACCACTCGAGCACTGCCCAAGGGCCCGGGGTCAGTAGGGGGACCCATGAGATGCCCCTGGTACCTTTCATAGGCTTTTTTGGGTGTGGTTTGAGTGTGGGCGAGAACACAGGGGCCCCATGATTTCCAATTGCCCGGGGGCCCCATGAGTTCTCAGTCCGTCCCTGGAAGGAATACATTCTCACTTTCCACCAATAACAAAACTTAGCAGCATCTTCCATCTGACCACCAATGTAACAAGCATTCCTCCTACTGCCAACCAATGTAATAGGGCCCGTCTTCACTGACTAAAAATGTAAGGGGGCAATTCACTATTCACCCCAAAGTAACTTAGGACTTCACCAATGTAAGAGGGTCATCCTCTGGCCACCAATGTAAGGGGCATATTTTTCTGGGCATTATTTATTTCCTTTCATTGTTATTACTAAAAATAATTTCCTTAAAGAAAAAGGCTTCTATAGATTATATGTTTTTTGGGTGTATTTTCAACACATGTTGTTATTTGTTCAGTGCATGAAAACAGATGTAACATAATTTTTATGGGCCAGTCAAAGCACTAAAAAATGAACAAGAACTTTTTTTTTACAATGAGCATATACACAATGCATGCATGTAAACTTGTCCTATTGAAAACAATGGCTGTCCGGTTTACATACACATTCAAACACACTTGCTAAAATGCATTAGTGTTAATAGGTCCCAAAGAATGTTTATGACCCATCCTATTGAAACCTTATTTTTCTATGATACTTTCTTTTTATTGTTTTAATTGCACATTCTAGTGAACAAACTCATATTTAAATTATTAATCTGCACCAGTTTTCCTACCATTATTCTACCTTTTCGTTTAACCTGTCTGAGTACTTACAGTGTTCATGGCACTTTGCTAGTATCTCTAGGTCATCTACATGATAGTAGTCATATCCAGATGTACCAAGAACTTCAAAAGGTAAATATCCAATGATTGGTGGAGCTCTGCACAACAAGAGGATAATGTCAATGTTTATGTAGTTTTTTCAGAAATTACTTTCAGCAAACACAAGAAAGGACACATGAGCTGTTTTTCAACAATTGCATTTGCTTCTAAGTGTGAGCAGTCATTTATATCATAGCTCAAAGGTTTATGTAAAAATCTCATAGGTTTTCAAAAGTGTGTTTTCAGATCAGCACGGTGGCAAAGCGGTTAGAACTTTCACATTGGACAACTGGAGTCCTGAACTTAATTCACACCAAGGATACTAACTGCATTGGATTTGATTTGGATTGAACTACTGCAAACCTGGGGAAGTCATACAATGTTTCTCAGTGCTGGGAAACTGTGATGCAGGAGTATAAATTTTGCTATACACAGATATTTTCATTCCTAACAGGTCCCTCCATTCACACTATACAGTGTGGATGGATAAATTTGCCACTGTGGCTGTGGCTGTGGCAATTTTTTGTCCAGCTCCTCAGTTTTTTCCAGTCACGGTGGGACGGGGCTAAAAGTGACAACCCATATAACATTTTGTCTGACTCATCAGGAACAGGCCAAATCTGCATAGTGCAGGGGTGGGCAAACCTTTTGACTTGAGGGCCGCAATGGGTTCATATATTGGACCCGGGGGCCGGACCAAGAGTAGATGAATGATGTGTATGTGTCATCCATAGTAAGTATAGTAATATTCCCCCATAGTAAGCATAGTAATTAATCCCCCATATAGTAATTCATCCCCCATAGTAATCCATCCCCCATATAGTAATTCATCCCCCATAGTAATTAATCCCCCATATAGTAATTCATCCCCCATAGTAATTCATCCCCCATGTAGTTCATCCCCATAGTAATTCATCCCCCATATAGTAATTCATCCCCCATAGTAATTCATCCCCCATAGTAATTCATCCCCCATATAGTAATTCATTACCCATATAGTAATTCATCCCCCATAGTAATTCATCCCCCATATAATAATTCATCCCCCCTATAGTAATTCATCCCCCATATAGTAATTCATCCCCCATAGTAATTCATCCCCCATATAGTAATTCATCCCTCATAGAAATTCATCCCCCATATAGTAATTCATCCCCCATAGTAATTCATCCCCCCTATAGTAATTCATCCCCCTATAGTAACATCATCCCCCATAGTAATTTCATCCCCCATATAGTAATTCATCCCCCATAGTAATTCATCCCCCATAGTAATTCATCCCCCATATAGTAATTCATCCCCCATAGTAATTCATCCCCCATAGTAATTCATCCCCCATATAGTAATTAATCCCCCATATAGTAATTCATCCCCCATAGTAATTCATCCCATAGTTCATCCCCCATAGTAATAATCCCCCATATAGTAATCCCCCATATAGTAGTTCATCCCCCATAGTAATTCATCCCCCATATAGTAATTCATCCCCCATAGTAATTCATCCCCCATAGTATTCATCCCCCATAGTAATTCATCCCCCATATAGTAATTCATCCCCCATAGTAATTCATCCCCCATATAGTAATTCATCCCCCATAGTAATTCATCCCCCATAGTAGTTCATCATCCCCCATCCCCCATAGTAATTCATCCCCCCATCCCCCATATAGTAATTCATCCCCCATATAGTAATTATCCCCCATATAATAATTCATCCCCCCTATAGTAATTCATTCCCCATATAGTAATTCATCCCCCATAGTAATTCATCCCCCATAGTAATTCATCCCTCCTATAGTAATTCACCCCCCCCTATAGTAATTCATCCCCCATAGTAATTCATCCCCCATAGTAATTAATCCCCCATATAGTAATTCATCCCCCATAGTAATTCATCCCCCATAGTAATTCATCCCCCATATAGTAATTCATCCCCCATAGTAATTCATCCCCCATAGTAATTCATCCCCCATATAGTAATTCATCCCCCATAGTAACTCATCCCCCATAGTAATTCATCCCCCATAGTAATTTCCCCCATATAGTAATTCATCCCCCATAGTAATTCATCCCCCATATAGTAATTCACCCCCCCTATAGTAATTCATCCCCCATAGTAATTCATCCCCCATAGTGATTCATCCCCCATAGTAATTCATCCCCCATAGTAATTAATCCCCCATATATAGTAATTCATCCCCCATATAGTAATTCACCCCCCCTATAGTAATTCATCCCCCATAGTAATTAATCCCCCATATAGTAATTCATCCCCCATAGTAATTCATCCCCCCCATATAGTAATTCATCCCCCATAGTAATTCATCCCCCATAGTAATTCATCCCCCATATAGTAATTCATCCCCCATAGTAATTCATCCCCCATAGTAATTCATCCCCCATAGTAATTCATCCCCCCCATCCCCCATAGTAATTCATCCCCCATAGTAATTCATCCCCCATATAGTAATTCATCCCCCATAGTAATTCATCCCCCCATATAGTAATTCACCCCCCCTATAGTAATTCATCCCCCATAGTAATTCATCCCCCATAGTAATTCATCCCCCATATAGTAATTCATCCCCCCTATAATAATTCATCCCCCCTATAGTAATTCATTCCCCATATTGTGTCAATTCACTTACCTTTGCTCCGCGCATTCCTCTCGCCGTGTTCCCGTGCCGTTCCGGTCTTCAGGGCGGACTGTGAGAGGAACCTAGCTCCCCTGCTGCCCCGCCTCACGCTGCCCCACTCCTCACGCTGCCCCGCCTACACACATCCTGACAGACAATGTTTGCCACGCTCCGCGGGCCGGATTAAAAGGTCCGCTGGGCCGTATACGGCCCGCCTGCCGTAGTTTGCCCATTGCTGGCATAGTGTCTAGCAAGTCTAAGCCTCTGAGGCTGATATTGAAGTGCTCAGTTTAAGTTAGGGTTACAGTGAAGAGTATTTTTTAAAATTTACAATTTCCAACGCAAATTATATGATCATTTTAGGGTTAAGGATAAAGGATATCTAAATCTAAGAACATATATGTAATATATCACAGTTTTCCATTCCTTGGATTTTGAGACTGAATTAGTTTTCATTTCTAAGACTGAAGCCAGCCATAGATGGATCGAAAATTGACTGGTTCAGCAGGGACCAATTTTCGATCCATCTATGGCAGGATGGTTGTACAAAGGTCAATCTCTCTATAGACTTCTGTACAACCAGCCTGTTGGAAACATATCGCTTGATCAGTGCTGCTGGCTACAGCCGATTGTGCTGATGAGTGTATTCTGATGGCAGGTGAGGCCTCCCTATTAGCAGAATACAATAGTTCCCTGGGAAGGATTCCCCCATCTACACACTCAATGGTTGAATGAAAGAAAAGGAATCATGCATGGCCTGCCTAAGAACAATTTTAGCATGTAAAGAAAATACATTTAGTGTCCTTGTCACTTTATGTGAACTGATATGAAATATTAAACAATCTTATCTTACAAGCTATCATCTCTACAACTATTAATTTTTTTGCCCCCATATAACAAAGACAAAGAGAAGAAGATTTGTTTGTAGTCTAAATCGAGATAGCAGCCTGGGTTACAACCATGGCTCTATCAGTAGATGCAGAAGTGATCTGTGAGTGTAGCTATCGTAGGACATAAAGTGTGTTTTTTATAGGATTATCAGGTGAAAATAATGGAAAAAAGCCTGAAAACTAATCCAGATCTAAGGACTGGTAAGCTGCACTATTTTAAATGTTTGTTTTTGGATTTTGATATGAATTGAGTGTTAAAGTGTTACTAAACCCACAACAGTAAAATCAGTTTGTATATGCTGTAAAACATGGTTGTTATATTCACTGTGGAACCTAAGGGATTAATCCTCTGCATTGTGTAAAAAGGCTGTTTGATCCTGAATTCTCTGATCCTCCCCTTCTTCCAGTGTCCCTCTCTTATCTTCTGATAAGACATATCATGGAGTCACTCTGCACATGCTCAGTTTTGTGTGTATTGCTAGAGAGGTTTTTTTTTTCTTGGGAGAGTGCATGTAATCAGCACAGGGCCAATCAGCGCTATCTAGACAGAGGTCAGGAATCCTGCATCCTCCTAGAGCAAAATGAAAACTCCTTCTACAAGCGTTAACATGTGCTTTGCTGAACACTGATAGAACTCACAAGACTGCTATATACTGCTGATGAGAAAAGGTACTTATCAGTTTATATTTACTAAAATAATTTCACTTCCATGTTGTGTGTACTGTGGGAGACCAGATATAGTGAATGCAGAGTTCTGGGTTTAGTAACACTTTAAAGAAAACCCTAAAGACTACCTTTCCATTTCAATCCGCAGATGTTGCAATTTTCTAAAACTGTCAAGAAATATGTGTCACTGCCTTGAAATCTGGCAACCTGCAGGTGATCTGTAACATCATTGAAAATTCAGTATCATTTTTGCTGAGATGCTAACTAACACATTGCCACAATGCAGTCCCACTGGACTTTGGGCAAATCACATCTAACCCATAGTTTCGTGTGGGTTAGCTGCACTTCACTGCAGAATTTTATGATGTCCTTTGGCTTTGGTGCGATTTCAGAAAGCGCACTAAAAATGCAGAATGCAGGAGTTTTGGTGTTCTTTCTGAAATAGCACCAAAACCACAGGATCTTATATAAAAGTAAGGGAAAGCACAACTAAACTACACAAAAACCATGGGTTAGCTGTGCTTTTGCTAAAGTGTGAAGCTAAAGGGCTGCAACTTCTCTTAACATAGCTCTGAGATTGCAGCGGGTGATTATGAAAGTGCACCCTCTCAATTGTAATTAGAATTTATGAGTTACGTTTAAAGGTCAGTTCAAGACTGGGTTACAACCCAAAATGCACTTGTTGCATTCACACATTGCCGTACTGATGCACACTGCATTCTCCATTCAGTTCTTGCTGGAGCATATAGTAGGAACTCTCCACAGACTCAAATGCAGAGTGTACTGTGCACCTCAGAAGAATCTGACTCTCAGCAGTTTCATGGGAGATATCCTGCTAGGATCTGATTTTAAATGGCCTAAACTGCAAAATGAAGGTCAGTGTACTCAAAATACAGCACACAGGGAGGGCTTTTTCACAATACACAGTAATGTCTTGGCAGCAAGAGGCAATTTTGTACTTTCTCTTCTAATGTAACATCTCAGATCACAGGACCATATACTTTATTTGGCATGCTATATAGAACTGTAAATGGGGCAACAAAGCCCAGGGTAGGGGAGTGGGGAATGGTAATATGGGAGTGGAAGTAAATGGGGAACTCATAAAAGAAATTAATTGTTAGGACGTACATACAGTTTAGAGTATAACTAAAGGCAAACTTTTTTTTTTTTTTAATAGAATGGAGAGGGATTAGACTACCTGTCAGGTTTATATTGCAATATGTTAGCGTGTTTCAACCTCCCTTGTGGACTGTTCAGCAAAAGTGGAAGTGAAAAAGGATTTAAAAAAAGAGAGGGGAAAACTTCCAGTGGGGACACTAGTTGTGGTGACAACCAGGGATTCCCTAACTTTGGTGGGATTTCCTCTCACTTCAGGTTTTGGCTAACAGACAGGAAGTGAAGGGAAATCTCCCATATGGGACTCTATGCAAAATGAAAAAAAAAAAACCCCTTTAGTTCTGCTTGAAGACTGCAATTTGAGCAGAAACCTAGTTACAAGTATGCATGTATTGGCCATTGAGTAAAGTATTGAAACCAAAGGAAGAGAATCACAGCCAGGCAAGTAGCATTAGTAAAAGAAATGGATTATGCATTATTCTCAAAACAGGTTTTCCCTTAAAAAGGTCATTGCTGCAACTTATTTGCAGTGGAAGGTTGTTTGTCACTTCTGGTTCGTTCTGTATCTACTATAATAGAGTTGTTTTGTACCTGTGATCTAGTGATAGGAACTTCCATTCAAGACTGTGCCTTGACGTGAATTCTTCAAAAGACTCATCAACTATACACATTTCCTGCAAATCCAAAGACACAACACTTTAAAGAATTCTGCTAAGCATTATTTGGATGTAAAATAAATAGTGACAAAAATGACCCTATTATAATTTGAAGCAAATTACAATCCTTTCTATGAACTCTAATAAAACGTACTGTGCATGAAGGAATGTTTACAATTTAAGTGAATTGTTCGAAAAAATTTTAAAGCTGAGCTCCGTGATAAGCAAATATTGTCTAAATACAAAAGGGATGTGTATTCCTACTTAAATCTTGGTGTGCACTGTATATTTCTTCCAGATTTGTACAGTAGTACTTTGGCGCTGTGCACAAGCTTCCTGACATGACCAGTGACTGCTGCTCTCCCATCTTGTGCTGGGTGATTGGCCCTGTATCCACCCCCATTCTGTAACTTTCTGCAAGCACAGCTCAGCACAGCGATGTTGTCACTATACTTTTATGTGGAAGTAACTGTGTTTGCAATGGTTTTCATGGCTACTGAGGAATATACCTAAATTAAATTATTGTGCCCAGAGTTCATTTTTAATTCAGGTTGAGGCTTTCTTCCATTCTGAAACTCAAATGTTATATCAAATATTACAAAGATTTTAAATGCCTGGAAGAAACACAACCTTAAACAGTAAATGAAAGCTTAAAACAAGTTATGACTGATGCATTATACTGCCAATTCTAGCAAGTGATGATTCAATGCACCCTATTACATCACAGTTTTTCATAGGTCGCTTTTCAATAGTTGATGACTTTTTTGTGACAATGTTCCTTTATGGATACTTTAAAATGCCCAGATTTTTTTGATTAATTAGCAACACCCTTCATTTTTTCCAACACTTCAATTTAGCCCGCTACATATATAATATATATACATATATTAAAGCAGCATAAAATACTGGCATAATGTAAGAGTTCATAATGCATTTCTCTTAAGGTATGAGATGCAAACCTGGGAACGTTCTATGTAACCTTACTCTGATTTACAATGTGACACCGCTTTCAACTATGCTACTACTAGGGACCTGACCTCCTAAAAGTCCTGCAGGGTCTCTGGCCTGAGAATGAACTGGCACAATTTACTCCTCTTTACACACCCTGGCACCCTGCAACTAGCAGACGCAGTGGGTCCAGTTATTTACTTATTTAGGTGTGGTGATTTCTCATGTGTTGACCTAAATCTGGTTCCTGTACTCTCTGAGGTTAAGAATCATCTGAAGGCGCGCTGGAATCTGCCCCTCTCTTTAATTGGCTGTATTAAGTTGATCAAAATGAAGATTCTTCTCAAATTAACATACCTCTTTCAAAATTCACCCACTTGGATTCTCAAATCCCTCTGTAAACAGCTCACCCACATTTTACTCTCTTTCTTATGGGGACCTCAGGCACCATGTTATAAACTTGCCACACTCATTAGACCAACCACACAGTGTGGCTTAGCCATGCCGGCATTCTACAAGTATTTTATTGCCACACAGATTGTAACTACCCACTGGTGCTTGGTGCCAAATCCAAACAACCCCTCTGTCACGTTAAAGGTGGCTATTTTAAACTCCCTGGAGGAGCTGCAACACCTATTGTTTTGGGGCACAAAATTCCTATTCATTAACCCCCACCCCCTTATAAAAGCCACCATTAAATCTTGGTCAGTGGTACTTAAGTGGAAACCGCAGACCCCTCCCGCCCTTTCACCTCACTGTGGAATAATCCCAACCAGACTCACTTCTATATGCTTCCCAAATCCCACAGCTGGCCTAAATTCAAAATTAATTCCTTGGGACACATCACAGCTGAAGGGAATCTAATGTCCTTTAAAACCATCCAAACTAAATTCAATCTACCACTGTACTACCAAGTGAGATACATGCAGCCGTCCCACGCCTTCCTTCACCAGGACGTATTTCTAACTTGTTCTCCCTTGGAAAATTTGTTAGGCACTAACCATCTCTCAAAACCAGCCTCCTCACTCTACCAGCACCTCCTCTTCAATACTCTTTTAGACCTCTCTGGCCTCTGGAATAAATGGCTGAGTAATATATTGGTGTCAGAGATCCTGTCGCCGTGCAGCCATGCGACGGATCTCCTCGAGCTGCGGCGATGGGAGTGTGCAGGCGTGGGAATGTGCGGCCACGCATGCGCAGTAGCACGGAAACTCGCGCATGCGCAGTAAGTGTACACGTCACGCCAGGTGGGCTATTTAAACCTGCAGAATAGTAAAATCAATGCCTTCTGGTCTACAACGTTCCTGCACATATTCCTGATCCTGTTACCTGTATTCTGATTTGCCTGACTAAGAAAGAACTCCGCCTGCACCAACCTCGGCTATCCCTGACCATCCACTTGCCTGCTCCCTTGTACTTTATCTGCCCGCCTGATACTGACCAGCTTGTCTGACTCTGCTACAGTTACCTACCTGCACCTGGCTTACATCCTGACGGCTGTCATACTTACCTACTGCTGCACCCACGGTCATGCACCTGGCCTGCATCCTGGTCGCTGCCATACCTGCCTGCTACTGCATCCACGCTCCAGGTGTCCGGTCCCAATCTGCACCCTGATTGCCACCATACCTGTCTGCTGCTGCACCTATGTTCCTGCACCCGCAACTGGCCTGCATCCGGATCTCCTGGGTCCCCAGCTACCTGCCGCCAGCTCTAGACCCACACTCGTGCCACTCTTGGCTCTGCGCCCACTGTTCTCACTATCAGGGGCTCAGAGCAGGAGTTGTAAGAGAACGCCCTCTCTCAGGCTCCGACATGGCCTTCTGGTACTGTCACATACCTGGTTGGGGAGCCTGATGTGGAGAGAGGGCGTCCTCTTACAACTTCCGCTTGGAGCCCCTGATAGTGGGAACAGAGGGCGCAGAGCCAGGAGTGGCACGAGTGCCGTGTGGGTCTAGAGCTGGCGGCAGGTAGCTGGGGACCCAGGAGATCCGGATGCAAGCCAGGTGCAGGTGCAGGAAAATAGGTGCAGCAGCAGACAGGTATGGCGGCAATCAGGGTGCAGATTGGGACCGGACACCTGGAGCGTGGATGCAGTAGCAGGCAGGTATGGCAGTGATCAGGATGCAGGCCAGGTGCAGGACCGTGGGTGCAGCGGCAGGTAAGTATGGCAGCCGTCAGGATGTAAGCCAGGTGCAGGTAGGTAAATGTAGCAGAGTCAGACAAGCCAGGTCAGTATCAGGCGGGCAGATAAAGTACAAGAGAGCACGCAAGCAGATGGTCAGGGATAGCCGAGGTTGGTGCAGGCGGAGTTCTTTCTTAGTCAGGCAAATCAGAATACAGGTAACAGGATCAGGAATATGTACAGGAACGTTATAGACCAGAAGGCATTGATTTTACTATTCTGCAGGCTTAAATAGCCCGCCTGGCGCGACGTGTATGCTTACTGCGCATGCGTGACTTTCCGCGCTACTGCGTATGTGTGGCCGCACGCTCCCGCGCCTGCGCACCACCGCGGCTCGAGGGGATCCGTAGCATGGCTGCACGGCGATAGGATCCCTGACAATTGGACATTGACAATGAGGACTGGTCTGACATCTGTGATACATGTTTAAACAGCTAGTCTCTCCCAGGGACAGACTGGTCCAAAATCCTCCAGAGAGCATATTTTACCCTCTACAGGCTTCACATTTAACCCAGCCTTGGCTCCTGCATGCTGGCACTGTTATCAACCCAACGGAGACTTTTTCCACATCTTCTCGACCTCCCCTTTCATTTCTCAGTTTTGTTTGGAGGTGGTGGATGTTATCTATACAGTTGCCTTGTCTCACCTCACCCTGGATCCAAAGCTGTGTCTGATGGGCCACGTGGAGATCATGGCCCCCACGGGTGCTGAGAGGACACTTTTGGGCCTTTACTATGCCCAAAAAAATCGGTTACGATGCACTAGAAGAAAGCAAGCCCTCCCTCTCTCATTTTTTGGAAAAGCTTAGTCAACAGAACATACTCTGTTATGACATACAGTTTGCGGAAACAATAAAGAACAGGGTAATCAATTGATGATCTGAGATTTGGGGCATTAACAAAGAAAAGCTTGAGGATAAAGGTCTTAAAGTATCTTTGATATAAATTCTGGTTAGGGCAAACACACACACACCCAATGATATAGAGCAGCTATTCTCAACCAGGGTTCTGTGGAACCCAGGGGTTCCTTCAGAGGTTGCATTTTTCCCACTGCCCATCAATGTAATGTGCATTTGTCCTATTGACCTCCAATGAATTGTTTTTAGCAGGGTTTCCTTGAGACCCATACATTATTTCAAGGGTTTCCTCTGGAGTAAATAAGTTGATAAAGACTTATACAGAGAATGTGTTAAATAAAGTTGAAATAAGGATTATTCACTTCAGGGTTCTAGAAAATGAAGTGTGGTAAGAAAGAATGCAAATAAAACAACCCAACTAAAACAATTTACAGAATGTTTTTGACAACTAAAAGTTAGTGACTAGTCAGCTAACAATGTTGGTACTCCTGATGAGAGTTACCACTTACCTTTAAAAATTGAGGTGTTGCAAGTCGGACAGTAGCAAGGAAGCAAACCTGCTTGTTGAGCTGTGATCTGTATGTTCTTGAAACAGCTCCTTCATAGCCATTACATGAAGGGACAGGCACTGCAATGAAAGTGTATATGTACTAAAGTATAAAGAAAATATTGCATCTTTAGCATCTGTTGGTGACAATAAGTGTAACTAGGATATAATATTTTTAATATTTTTGTAATGTAATTTATCTTCCAATGAACTGTTTTGATCAGACACCCTTAAAGTGTGTGTAAAAGCAATATTATGATTTACCCCTTTTGTTAGGCAGCAAGTGCTAACTCCTGTACAACAAGGGTATGTCTTCATGCAAGTGCTAACTCCTGTGCAACAAGGGTATGTCTTCATGCAAGTGCTAACTCCTGTGTGGCAAGTGCTCATCTTCCTGCGCACATGCAGGGTAAATGTAATGTTGTTTTTCTAGTCATTTTGAAATGTTTTCTTCTCATAAAAACTCCCATTGAAAAACAGTAAATAAATACAAGCTACACCTTTATCATTTTATTATAATCTATTCTCTTACCATCCTAGCCACCTCCACAAAATGTTATTTTATAATCCTTTGAGTTATAAACTGAGTTTTTCCTTTTCTTATGAATACTTTCATCATAGTATTTTAGGAGCAAACAATCCAGTGCCATCTGATTTGCCTCCAACAGTGAGTCACATTGAAAAAAATGAAAACCAGATTAACAATAAGCTAAAACATGGCCCCAACTGAAAACACTGGCCTGATTTTTTTTATTTCCTTATAATACACAATGACATATGGAATGAAGGCTCCGAACACAATTATGTACGTCCTTCCCCAAACGCTTTTCTACATGTTAAAAACATGCTTTGGAGCTCAGAGGTGAAATGAGGGCACTGAGTCACACTGCCTGTAAGGGATGTGAAGAAAACACAGTGTGGTTTCTGGAAGGCAGGCTGAGGAATTTTTGCAAAGGATGACCTATTTGGAAAGACACCAGCAGAATTTCAATTTCTGGTCTCTGCAATAAAAGGCAAAAAAGTGCAGACAGTCGTTCCTGTGTTTTTACTTACTAACCTTTGGTAATATACTAACTCTAAAGTGCAAAGGTCTAACTTGTGTTGTGGCCCCAAATATTGAAGTGGCATGTTCTGGAATCCAATCTGTGGGGTTGTCATTGTTTCAAAACCCTAATATATTTCTTTTTCCAAAGATGCCTATAAAATGATTACAATCTCTAGCAATGTGAGATTCTCAGTAATGTATTGTGGGGCTCCGTTAGGTGACCCAGACTATAGACTGCACACCTATGGCACAGATTATAGAATGTCAAACTCACATTTGTAGAAGGAAATTCATTCATTATTCTGCATGAAACTGTAAGTGAATTAATATTCAAAAAGTGGAATTGCTTCAGTAAGTCTTTTCCAACCACAACCATATGATGTATCGGCAGCAATGCCACACCTTTATTTATATAATATATAATCAATAATTTTTTTTTTAACCACTTGAGCTCCAGAGGATTTACCCCCCTTAATGACCAGGTCTCATTTTGCTACTCGGCGCCGCACTAATTCATCTGATAATTGCGCGGTCATGCAATGCTGCACCCAAACAAAATTTACGTCCTTTTTTTCACACAAATAGAGCTTTCTTTCGGTGTAATTTGATCACCTGTGCGCTTTTTATTTTTCACGCTATAAATAAAAAAAAAGGCCAAAAATTTTGAAGAAAAACAATATTTTTTACTTTCAGCTATAAAAAATATATAGTAAACTCAAAGTTGGTTATAAATTTAGGCCAAAATGTATTCTTCTACATGTTTTTGGTAAAACAAATCCCAATAAGTGTATATTGATTGCTTTGTGTGGAAGTTATAGCGTCTACAAACTATGGTATAAATACTGCAATTTACGCCATTTTTGTGCTATACAGCGCTGCGCTAGTTTAACGGACAATTGCGCGGTCATGCAATATGGTACATAAATTAAATTTACATCCTTTTTTTTCCCCACAAATTGAGCTTTCTTTCGGTGGTATTTGATTGCCTGTGCAGTTTTTATTTTATGCGCTATAAAAAAAAAGGCTGACAATTTTGAGGAAAAAAAAAACAATATTTTGGACGTTTTGCTATAAAACATGTCCAGTAAAAAAAAAATGCAAAAATAAAATTTAGTCATAAATTTCTGCCAAAATGCATTCTGCGACATGTCTTTGCTAAAAAAAAAAAACCCAATACGTGTAAATTAATTGGTTTACGTGAAAGTTATAGCGTTTACAAATGGCGGGAAAGATACTGGGATTTTTAGTTTTTTTTAATACTAATAATGGCGGCGATCAGCAAATTATGGCGGCGATCAGGGACTTATGGCAGCGACCAGCGACTTATGGCGGGACTGCGGCGGACATTCTGACATTGGGGGGGTACTGACTTGGGGTCACTGACATCTCCAAAAACACTAATACAGTGATCAGTGCAAAAAAAAAAAAAAACACTGACACTGTACTAATGGCAATGGGGAGGAAGGGGTTAACTTTATTTTGCAGGGAAGGGTTATAGGAGTGAGGGGAGTGTTTTACTAGGGGGCGGGGGTGTGTACTAGATGGGACAAGGCTGATCGAGAAAGAGAAACTGTTCTTTCTCGATCAGCTCATCCTCGAGCTGACAGGGAAGTGACAGACAGCACAGCTACTGCAGCTGTGCTGTCTGTCACTGTTTGCCGCCGATCACCAGGAGATAGCCGCTAAGGAGCAGCTGTGACCCGGCGACTGACATCTGCGGCGGTGATCGGCGGTACAAATAGGGCGGCGGCGTGCCTCGCGCGTGCCCCCTATTTGTTTACAAAACACACGTTTTAAAACGTGGTTTTGCCTGTGAGTGCCACCCTGCCGCCGTATATGTACAGTGGCTGGGCGGCATGTAGTCAATTATTGGGGAGAGAGAAAACCTGATAAGGGTAGATCTAACCTACTGTATGACTGTAATTGCCCCATTACAATAAAATAAAGGAGATCTACACGTAATAAAAATTTTAAATCACAGTGTCGATTCATTGCAAATATGATAAAAGTGGATTTTTTGTATTAGCCCCTCCCACTGTCTCAATTTATTTACCCAGTTTTTCACATACGTATATCAGACATCCTCCCCTTTGCCTCTGTAGCTACTACAGAGCAAGGCCAGCTTATATCTTTAATTTAACCAATACCTTCCTTCACAGTAAGAATACAGCTAAAGCTCTCCAAGTATTGTTATAGATTTTTATTTTTATAATTATTAGGCAGCTTCCTTTACTTACGCAAAATGGGACAACAAAGAGATTTACCTGACTCTGAAAAGTCAAACATTCAAAAAAGTCTTTCAGAAGAAGGATGGAGCACTCTTGAAACTGTAATCACAGAACCGTCAAACTTTTTTTTTAGTCAACAGGTTAACAAGAAATGTGTTGCAAAAAAGGCGCAAATTAACTGCCAAAGATTTCAGAAAAATCAAACATGAAGCAGGAACCCATTATCCTCCAGGTTTGTCAAATTTCAGAACTGCAATCTACCTGGAGTGCCCAGAAGTACAAAGTGTTCAGTGCTCAGAGACATGGCCAAGGTAAGAAAGGCTGAAACCTGACCACCACTGAACAAGACACATAAGTTGAAACTTCAAGACTGGGCCAAGAAATGTCTGAAAACAGATTTTTCAAAGGTTTTATGGACTGATGAGATGAGTGACTGTTGATTGACCGGATGGATGGGCCCGTGGCTGGATCAATAATGGACACAGAAGCTCCTCTTCAACTCAGATGCAAGCAAAGTGAAGGTGGGGTAAAGATGAGCTAGTTGGACCTTTTCGGGTTGAAGATGGACTCAAAATCAACTCCCAAACTTAATGCCAGTTTTTAGAAGACTAGCCAGTAACGGCCTTAAAGATGAAAAAATAATTACATGGCCCTCTTCCTCACCTGACCTAAACTAGATTGGGGTAGACCTCTCTGGACAGTGTCTCGGAGGCTGTGGTTGCTACTGCACAAAAAGTTGATCGTCAACAAAACAAGAAATTGACAGACTCCATGAATGGAAAGCTTATGAGTGTTATTGAAAAGAAGGGTGGCTATATTGGTCACTGATTTTTTTTTTAATTTCAGAAATGTTTATTTGTAAATTTTTAGTTGTTTGTTTTCTATTCTCACTTTAACAAATGAAAATAAACAAGTGAGATGGGAACATTTTTGTTTTTCATTTAGTTTCCCAATAATTCTGCACACTAATAGTTGCCCGATAGTTGTGCACACATATATATTCTCCTAAGAAAGTCAAAACCTCACATTTACTTTCTTAAATATTCAGATTTGAGGTTTATTAACATTTTGGATTGACCTAGAGCACTGTAGTTGTTCAATGATGAATTTAATCCTCAACAACTTGCCTAATAATTGTGCACAAAGTGTATGTTCACCCTCAGGGAGTCTAAAGCCTATATGAATTGAATCGATTCAGACCAATTCAGATTTGAGGCAGCTGTGGAAGTTGCAAAGAGGTAGAGTATGGAGAAGGTATAGCATCCTAGGCATTATATTCCGAAAATTATATCTACCAGGGGAATCCTGTTGCCATTGATTCGGCACGTGTATTAAGATTTGTATCAAAAGAATAAAGTTTAATTAGAAAGTGTTGTACATTTCAGCAGGAATCACACTTCCACAAAAGTATTACATAGTAAGCCTATTGAAGCCAATTTCAGTGTAAGTACTCTGTGCTGAAAATGTAATGTGGATACATTCAAAACCTCAGCTTTCTGCAGATTAGTTGTATAATTTAGTCTTTAATTTCTTCAAGTAGCTTTGAAAAGGATGTAAGGGCTTGGCTAACATACAAAAGGCGACCATCGCCCTATCCTGACACCTTGGGGTTTATTTACTAAAGCTGGAGAGTCCAAAATCAGACTCCCTTCTGCATAGAAACCAATCAGCTTCCAGGTTTCATTGCCAAAGCTTCATTGAACAAGCTGAGGTTAGAAGCTGATTGGTTTCTATTCAGAAGGGAGTCTGATTTTGGACTCTCCAGCTTTAGTAAATAAACCCCCTTATGTCAGTGCTGGAACATGTCAAATCCCCCCCCCCAAAGATGTATGAGTATTAGGTGCCAGCAAACCCCCCCCCCAAAAAAAAAAATCAAGCACTACCCTGCACGCTACCCCATAAGCATATATTCCCTTTGCAAGCCAAAGTTCTTTACAAACAAAAATCCCTCTTCCCAGCACTAATCCCACCTCCTAGCACAAATCCCCCCTCCCCCAATTTCCCAATGAGCGCAGACCCTTCCCTCAGCACATATCCACCCAAAAACCCCTAACACAAATCCCCCCCCCCAAAAAAAAATCCCTCCCTAGCACAAAGATACCCCAGCACAATTTTCCCCTCTTAACAGAACCCCCCCCCCCCCATTCCCCTCCTAAAACAAATCCCCCCCCACACACTAATTCCCCCTCCTCACAAAAATTCCCCGTCCGAACATAAACCCCCAGCCCCAATTCCCCCTCCTAGCACGAATCCCCACAATCATCCCTACTAGAACAAATCCTCCCCCTCAAATCCCCCTTCCTAACACAAATCACCCCACAAAAAATATTTCCCTTACACAAATCCTCCAAAAAGCACCCTTCCTAGCCTACCCTATAATCTCCCCACTACACAAATCCTCTCCCCCCCATCTCCTCTCCTAGCACATAACCCCCCCCCCCCCCCCCCCCCTCCAAACCTCTCTCTCATTAATCCTCTTCCCCTTCCTCCCTCCTAGCACACTCTCATCCCCAGTTTCAAACTTTGCCCCTCCTCCCATGTCCCCAGTGCAGCTTCCCCCTCCATCAAACACACAGACCTCAGATGCAGCGCGCTGTGTGAATTCCTTCCTTTCCCCCAAGCTCCCCCTCAACTTGGCACATTCAAATTTGGAAGGAGCCTAGGGAAAACACCTAACACTGCTGCCATGCAGTTGGCAGGGAGAGATGCCAGCTGCTACACGGGATCACGGCTGTGAACATCTGACTATCAGATCAGGACATTACAGGTTTGCAAACCTGGGACAGTCCCGATCTGACAGCCCCGATGCAGAAGAGATCAGCAACAGCAGGACTCAGGAGAAAGAGCTGGAGGGGAGAGAGAGCATCTCCTCCCGCCTCTCTTCTGCTCTCCGGGTTCTGCTTGTGACATCCCACGCTGAGCTGACAGGAGTAGTGATGCTGCTGTCATCACTCCTCTCAGCTTGTAGTGGCAGGAACTCTTTGCATGGCGCCCCCCAACCACACATGATACCAGGGCCAGGGGCATGTTTACATGTGTTCAGGTGCATTTGCATGCATTTTACTGCATTCTAGATGCATTTCAGACAGAAAAAAATGCAGCAGGTTCTACTTTTGTTGATTGCATAGGTACTGACTGCAATGATGTGAACTGCATGCATTTTTTGATGCAGGTTTGGTGCGTTTTTGGACTGCATCTGGTGTGAACCATCCCTCAGTCTACCCAGCTGAAAAGTATATAAACAGCAAAGTCAAAACAAAATCCCATGACCAGGCAGAAAAGATCAAGCAGAAGATCTGAATAATGTTGTCTTCTTTTTGGGACATGCTGGCTAACATTTTAGCATCCTAAAAGGAATTTTGATAATTAAGATCTATCTAGCATATCCCTCTGTTTACCAAAGGATATGCACACAACACCAGAACGTCTTGTTTTCCATTTATGTTTTTTATCCCACACAATAATGGACAAGACTGATGCCCAATGACCAATAAGTCTTTAATACTGCAGTTAGGTCATGTCTTGTACTTATATGGTGATGCCTGGACCATGAGAAGAACTATATTACCTATATATATGATAAATTAGAAAAATTATTATATAAGGCATTCTAACGCAGCTATCAGATCTAAGTGCTGTATCTTTATTCACATCAGTACTTCACCTTATAAAGATGCACTCAACACGCCCAAGTCATACAGATAAGTGACAAAAGGAAATGCTTTGTCAATGGGCTGTATATTATAGTTCTAGCTAAAGAACACACGGATCATTTTATTACAATATAGATAAACTTGCACTACAATAAAATAGACTTACATTACCAGCTGCTTACCATTGCTGCAAGACCGAAAATTTCCAACAACTTTAATATACTCATAGGTTGGGTAGTCTTTGGGGTTTAACGTGCCTCTAAGAAGATGACAGCAGAATTCCAAGTCACTGTCAGCTGAAAAATTTATAGAAAGATAAAATAATTCTTAAAAACCTTTAAAAAAACCTCTCAAAACAATGAAAAATAAGGTGGTATGGGAGTGTTTAGAGAGTTAACCTGTTTTTAAATATGCAGGTTTCAGAGCTATCACCCTGTTTATAGCTTTACTACCTAGTGTATTGCCATACTAAAACAAACATGTAGGTATGGCGTTCGGACTTCCTGACGACATGCTTGCTTCAGGTCAGGTGACAGCCCTGGAGTTTGTATCTTTAAAAACAAGTCAGAAATGACAGCTCCCATATTTTTATCATTGCAAAAATGCATTATGTTGTTAAAAAGGAAATAATAGGCATTTTGACTTACCGTACCTGATAAATTCCTTGGAGTACATTAAAAGACATGGAACTTGTATTTTTAGACCATAGGTCATATGCAGGCTACCTTCAGTTGATTGGACAGTGGCAAAAAATGTGATAGGGCCCTTGTGTGCACTCATATAACTCCAACCACTCCATGAGAATCCATTTTTTAGTGAGCAGTAAGAACTGGCCAAAGACAAAAAAAGGGGTGGGGGCATGTGTGCTGTACTTTTCTCCAAGATAGGGAATTTACAGGTAAGTCATAATTCCTATTATCGTAATCATTCAGTACAGAACACAAAAAGTACATAGACCATGGGGTGTCCCTAAGCAATAAACTGAGGGCTAACATCATAGCATAGCATAAATGTTACCAGTGCCATAAAAAACATAGGGGTCAAAGAACCCCAAAACACTACATAACAGCTTGAGGCAACTTGTGGCCAAAGCTCGAGTTGGTCAAAGCTTGAACATCTACCTGGTGGAACTTGGAGAATGTGTGAACAGGGGACCAGGAGGCCCCCTTACAAACTGAGATACTTCATACTGAAAAGCCCAAGAGACACCAATAGGCCTGAAGGGAAGGGAGAAACCCTTTTGTTTAGGGTGTTGGCCCTGGACATATGTTGTCTATTCAATCTGACACTGGTGCATTGGGATGCTGGATGACTTCCAGGCAGAGAATTCAAATCCCCAGACCTGTGAAGCGGCTTTTAGTTGTGGGATCGGTGCAAGGAGGTTTCCTGCACCGCTCCTGTGTGAACTCAGGCTATGACAAGCCTGGGTTCACACAGGACCAGTGGGGAATCTGCATGCAATTCGGACAGGAATGGCACCATATTCCTGTTCAAATCACATGCCATTATTTGCAGTGCGATTTGCACCAATTAATTTTGTATGCATGCAAATCGAGTACTCGGTACTTGAAAATACTCGGTATTGGCATCGATACCAGTATTGAGATCAGCACATCCCTATCCAGAACCATCATGCAAAAGTGAACTGAGGGGTGCTGTATTGACCTGAGGAAGGATGTTTCTGGCTTGGGCTGTGTCCAAGATTAGACCTAGGTACTCCAGATGCTGTGAGGGTTGGAGAGCAGAAAGTGAAAAATTCATTACCCAGATAAAAGTTTGAAGCAACTGAACTGTCCTTCAGACACTGGCAGACAAGGTTGAAGCTGAGACGTCCTTCAGCAAGAGGTCATTCAGGTAACCTTTGACATGAATGCCCTGGGTCCCCAGAAAAGTCAGAAGTGGAGAAAGCACATGTGTGAATACTTGTGGTGCACAGGAAAGTCCAAATGGTAGTGCTACAAATTGTAAGTGTTGGTCTTCGACAGTAAAATGCAGAAGATGTTGATGAAAGAGGAATATTGGGATGTTTATATAGGCATCTTGCATGTCTACTGATGCCAGAAATTCTCCTTGTCTGAAAGAAGCAATTACTGTTTCTGTTGATTTAAGGTTAAACCGCTTCTTATCCAACTTCATTGAGTGGCCACGTCTCTTCTTGAGTGACCTTAAACTGAATAGCTTCCTCCTGATGTTGGAATCACTAAAATATTTGTGTATCGATATCATATCCCCTTTAAAACATCTCTTCTCAAGGGAGAATAAGTTTAATCTCCTGGGACTGATTCCTTGGGTATCCCACTTATAACTCCAGACCTTTCAGAAGATACACTATTTATCACCACCCTCTGGATAGGCCCTTATAAACAGTTTTCTGTTCAGGTACATATACTATCGTCAAAGCAAACAGACCTCAATGTGTGGATTAAATATTTATGGGGTACCGTGTCAAATGCTTTGGTGTAGTCTAAATACACTACACCCACATGCCTTCTTTTATCCAGATTACAGCTCACTAACTCATAGAATGTTATTAAGTTGGTTCGGCTAGAGTGATCTTTCATAAATCCGTGCTGGTTATTACTAATAATACTATTTTTATCAGCAGATTCTTGGATATGGTCCCCTATCATCCCCCCCCCGATAGTTTACAAACTATTGTTGTTAGGCTGGCTGGCCTGTAGTTTCCAGGTATGTATCTCTGCCCACTCTTGAATATTGGTACCACGTTAGCTTTTTGCCAATCTGCTGGTACCATTCCGGTCAGTAAGCTTTCCTTAAAGATTAGGAATAACAGCCTAGCAATGACCTGGCTAAGTTCTTTAAGAACTCTCAGGGGCAAGTTATTACACCACCAAACATTAAGTTTTTGTAGTCTTTTTAGAACACTGGCTTCTGCTAGCCACAAGGGCACAATCCTTGCTAACAATACCTACCATCTTATCTAGTTAACCCCTTATTTTCCTTAGAAAAAAACTGATAAGAAGATTGTATTTAATACAGTTGCCTTTTCCTTGTTACTTGTGACCAACATTCCTTGATCATCCATTATGAGGCCAATACGCTCTGACTTTGCTTTTTTACTGTTAATATACAGTGCTCAGCATAATTGAGTACACCCCAACAGATTTGTCAGAAAACCTTTCCTTTCCAAATCAACATTTTCTATGGGACACTATACTATAAAATATTCCCACAATTTGTCAATTTGCACACACAAAAAAGTATTATTCCTAACAAATTCATTCAAGACCATTTGCAAAAATGAATACACCCCAATGAAAGTCTTAGAAACAAAGCTAAATTTCAGACAACAAAATCATAATTAACAAGAATTCAACTACAAGTGAGTCTAATTATTCATTAAACTTCCCGATGTGCTACACATTGGGAATATTATCTAAAACTCCTCCATCAATGGTACTTAACTCTCGTCTGACTCTCAGAATTTTATTCCACTTACTCCCTGCAGTGCTGGCATCAATGTGGAGAAAAAGGCTCTCTACTACACTTACTATGGTCTTGCAAATCTTTGCAATCCTTCTGGAATAGGGTTTGTAGTCTGATTTCCGAAGTAATAGGCTCCACAGTGAGCCCTGACCCCTCCCTAGCTTTATTTCATATTGGTCTAGATAGTTTTCCTTCTAACTCCCGTTGTATCGTAATCCACATACTATTTGCAGCCAACCATAATGTTACCAGACTATGGAAATTGCTTACATCTCCCTCAAAAACAATGGTGATTACCGATATAAATCATCAATGTGATATGGAAAGGAGATTCGCCATTACCAACTTTTTATACCCAAAATTTGCTCGCTCCTGATATCAATGGTCACGCAATCCCAATTGTAAAATTCAAATCTGATGACTCACCCTCTTTGGAGTGTAAAATATTATCTTGACTGGTATTTTTGTTGTTTAACCTTTTAGTTCAGGCAATTGTTTCTGTATTTTCTACCCCCTCCCTCTCCTATCAGTAGAAAGTAGAAAGCCAAACAGAAGTGATTGTTTCCCATGACACAACACGGCATACACTGCAGAGGAATGGCATGCATGGTGTCGTCCACAAAGAAAGCCTCTCGTAAAGCCCATGCACAAAAAAGCTTGCCTAGAATTTGCCAGGGCACATGCTGAAAAAGAAGAAAACTACTGGGACTCTGTACTCTGGAGTGATGAGACCAGGATAAATGTTTTTGGAACTGATGGCTTCAAAACTGTATGGTATCATACAGGAGTATAAAGAAAAATGCATGGTGCCTACAGTGAAACATGGTGGTGGCAGTGTCCTTCTGTGTTGCTGCATGAGTACTGCTGGTGCTGGGGAGCTGGGTTTCATTCATGGTATCATGAATTCACAGATGTACTGCTCTATATTGAAAGAGAAGATGCTACCATCACTCTGTGCCCTTGGTCGTCATGCACTTTTCCAACATGACAATAATCCAAAACACACATCTAAGGCCACTGTTGCATTTCTGAAGAAGAACAGGGTAAAAGTGATTCAGTGACCAAGTATGTCTCCTTGTCTGAACTCAATTGAACACTTATGGGGAATTCTTAAGAGACAAGTTGAGCATGTTCTTAAAGCATTCCCACTTTTCTTCCATGTTTTCTGTTTCTAGAATATCTTCCCATTTATTGTAATTTAGTATGGAGTATAGTGTGGTAAAGCTGACTCTCAGTATTTGGACCACACATATATATTTAACAGAATCACAGAATTAAGATGTTTTAATTGCAGCTTTTTTTGTAATCAGCACAATATGATTCAGAACAAGAGAAAGGATTTCAGTAAAGCAAAACAGAGAAATTCCAAGTAAACTTGAGCCCATCAGAATCTTACATGACTGTCTCCATCATAGTCCCCCCTTACATTATGGTCTCCATCAGTGTCCCTCACTAACATCAGAATCCACCTTTACACACTTACAACATGGCTGGGAGCAATTCTTCTGTGAATTTTGGGCAAAGCACATTAACGGTTGTTAGGACGCCCCACCGGTCCAAGCAACCAACAACGGTACAATGACAGTGCAGTTGGAGGAATCTGTACTGGAGACAGTGGGGTGGGGGATTATGGAAGCTAGGGAGAAACAACAACTACAGGCTGACCTGATGACCAGTGTGTAACATGTGTGAGATGCGACTGACCCTAGGTGGGCCACAAAAAGTCATGCAGAGTGCCACACGTGTCCCACAGGCTGTCATTTAGATACACCTGGTCTAGCAAATAGACATTGCAGCAATTGCTGGTTGCATGCGAAGGAGGCCATTAAAAGTACTTCCAAACACTTATCAACAGAATCCTTACAAGAAGGTACTGTAAGGTTTTTATTGAGAACTGAAATGGAAGGATACACTACTGGAAATGCCAGTCACTCCTTAAAATTCAAAATCTAAACAAAAAGCAAAGGAGACGTGAATAACCTTTCAGGATTGAGCCAGTACTCATACAATGCACAATCATTATGAATGTATGGGGGAGGTTTTTCTTGATATTATTATTATTATTGTACGACCGCTTTGAAAGCAGTATTTTTTTTCGTATGATTTTATGATCATGTGTACTAGGCTTAAGCCTATACAGGAGGAGAAAAATTGCCAAATTTAAAATGTTTGCACCAAGAAACGTTAGAGACAAAATTACAGGGGGGGTACCACAATAAGTCAATAATTCCTCTGCCTATCAAACCATTTTGTGTACGATGTACTGTTGGTTGTCTTTTTAAAAGCCAGTACCAACACACAGGGAAATCCTGTTCTACTTTATCCACAGCACTGGACCTGCTAGAGGTCCAGGCTTAACCCATCACGGTGTGCATACCCCTAACGGTCTTAATGGTCTGCGAACCTGTAAATGGACCATAACCCTGGACCTGTATAGTACACGGCAGTTAACTACACACGCTGCAGCTTGTGCCAAGGTGAGCTCCTAAAACAGCATCCAGTGCCCGAGGCAAGCATTAAAAAACATTTACCGCTGTCTAGGTAAACCTTTCTTTATGTCTATGACTCCCTACTGATCTCATGCATTTTTGACATAGGGTTTTCAGTTCAGAGTTTTCCTGCATTTTTTTAACTTGTTTTAACATGTGTTTTCAGTTGTGTGTCCATCTACAACTGCAGTTAGCTGGATTTGTAAAAACAATGTACTGCATGAACTGTACAGAATTATACTAGTTGTGCACGATTTAAATTTTGTCCAATTCCGGCTAAATTGGACAAAATTTGAGTAATGAGTGGCTCTGTCGCACTATTTGACGTCACAAAACTCTATTTAAAATCAACTGGTAGCTGGGTAGAAAGAATGCTGGCTGATCAGTTACTGCATCCTATCAGATGTGAGATCAATGAATGGATGCTGCTCAGACCGATCCCGGAAGTTCAGTGTAGGTGAGATGGCCTTAGCCGCCTCTCTGGCCACGCATCCATCTATTGATCTCACACAGTTTCTGGAACATTAGCTGATGCTGCTCCCATTTTCCCCAGTCAGCGGGGCGATTACTTTCCTGTGATTCCTGAGCATAGAGTTGTTCTGTTCATTAGACAGCCCTTTGTACAACTGGCAAAATTATAACGAAAGCATAACTCACAATTCAAATAATTTAGAGATGCAGAATCTGTCACAAGCATATGTGAAGATAGGATTTTATAGATTTCTGAATGTTCTTGTTCTGGTAGAAAATTCAACAAGTTTTGATCCATAATGTCAGACTGTTGAGAGAAAATAACATAATAAACAAATGTGACATGATAATAATTTATAATACGGAAAATCCCTACTCCAGTAAGTGTACTGTTTGGTCTGAACATCTGTCATGGTTATAGCAGTTTTGGGGGATGAAGGAGAACACTGTATCCCTTACAGATCCTCCCAAGCAGTCATGTGCCCTTAGTTACAGAACAGTTTATCCTTTGTTATGATGCGGTAAAATGTATTTGTCTTTAAATGGACAGTATATCTTTCTGTTTATCATATCAACTTTTGACAAAAGAATGATACTTCAATCTCTTTATGCCATTAAAAAGCTTTACTGTGTATTTGCCAGAAATGACATAATGTAATCATATGCTAAGCTTGCTGTACACTGTAAAATATGATTAGACACATTAGGGATCCCTTCTTCATCAGAAACTCACCTCCAACAGTTAGTAATGCTATATGAGCACCTTTATTACTGTCTATAGTATCAGCTGTATCCGAAAATATGAATCAGACGAAGGCCTGGTTCACACTAATGCAATTTCTGATGTGACTTTAGTCACACAGAATAGCATAACAATGGAAATCGCATTGTTTTTGAGTGGTGCCCATTCACATCAATGCAACTCAGCATGGAGTGATTTTGGAAAAGGTTCCTGTGCTACTTTGGTGCAATTCCTGAGCAATTTTAGACTCATAGGGGTTTATTTACTAAAGATGGAGAGTCCAAAATCAGACTCCCTTCTGCTTAGAAACCAATCAGCTTCCAGGTTTCATTGCCAAAGCTTCATTGAACAAGCTGAGGTTAGAAGCTGATTGGTTTCTATGCAGAAGGGAGTCTGATTTTGGACTCTCCAGCTTTAGTAAATAAACCCCATAGAGTTCAATGGAATTGCACAAAAATTGCATGTACATACAATTCTGATGCAATTTGGAAAACAATTTCATGTTTTTTAACCCTCAACTGTCCTTCCAGATAAAGCAGCAATGCCGTGACAATTAGGGATGAAATCAAATCAAAATCACACAGGAGAAATATCATGTCAAAATCGCGCACATCACGCTACATAATCACACCTCAAATCATCTAAAAAAATGCTTCACACTAGTGTGCACAAGGTTGAACTGTGTCAATCTATTTGTGACGAGCGTGGTGTACGAACCTTGCTCTTCTCATCAACTCATGGCAAAGGCCAATCTCCTACCACACTGTCACTTACGTAATAATGCCACCCTCAGTCTCACCCTGCACAAAGATTTCCCAGCTTGCGGGAGAGCAATCTAGATGCCAGCAGCCTGATAGTGATCTTCACTGGTTTAGGCTAATTAGCAATTAACTGTTAAGGCTATCACCACTCTCTTTTGACTGAGAGGGAGGAACTCATAATCCTAGCAAAAACAAGTATGATTTTAGCATAAACGTCTATAACACACACTGTCACCACAGACAGGTATATTCAGATATTTATCATATACAGTAGCACTCTTGAAGAGACTGGGATTCTTTATGTTTGCATTAAAAGCTTTAGAAACAATTTCAGCACTTTTCCAAATAGGGTATAATGCTGCAAAAGTCAAAATGGTGCAGATAAAATATTTACAGAAAAAGATGTTACAAAGAAATAAAGAAACCATAAAGCAACAGAGAATTAGATAGCTGAAAATGAAGAATACTTGCAAAGTCCTTGGTTTCAGCAGAGTTCAGTCAATAAGCAAGGTGTTCTCAGCTTCCATAACATTACAGATGTTCCTTCGTTAATGGTAAAACAAGACCTAAGATCTGCTTGCAATCTTTTTTTATCTGACATCAAGGGGGGTGTTGACAGAGGCCATCTGCCCAATTACGCGGCTGGGGAGGGGCCCTAGGATGTCACTCGTTTATGACCAAGCCCCCCAATATAGTTGCCTATAAGTTTTAAAAATCTGAATATCAGCAGGGTACAGTTGGCTACCCAGCATATTATTTTCCAGCATGCAATTAGCTTAAAAATGGATTTAAATATGGCAAGTCTCAGATACCACAGGTTTATGAGGGCTCAGTACATGTTACTATTACACTATTGAATCCCATGCAATTTGTACAACAGAACTTGCTTGTAATCACAGGCCTCTGAGATCAGTAGTATAAGTAGATAAGGTGGCGTAGCGCTAATACCATGTGATAATAGACATAAAAAATATAAATAAAAGACTCGATATTAAATGGGTGAATACATAAATTATATGAATCAATATATAGGTGTACAGTGGTGCACCTAATGTGTAGCCCAAAAACATGCCATCAAGAATGTGACTAAATATAAGTGATAGGTGATATAAGTGAAACAAATATTAACCAAATATAAATACATGTGATCATAAACAATATTCATAAATCATATAACACAAAGTCCTAAACGTATGGTAACTGTGATGAATCAATCTTCGACTGTGAAAATAAATACGTGCTCAAGTGCATCAGACCATCTGTCACCTTCTAGCGTGCACGCTTACCTCCATTCTTTGACCCTCAAGGAGTCATAAGGCATAACAGATCACCAGTTAGTCCCAGGTGGGATGAATTTCACTCTCTGAATGGACACAGGATCAGCTTCCACACAACCCACGGTTAATCAACCAGTCATCTTGTTTAAATAAAAGCTAGCAGCATTAAAACCACTTCCTCTGAGCCCAAGCTGTCATAGACTCATCACTTAGGGCTTGTCCTGCTGTGTGCAGTGGGGATTAGTTACTTTCTTTCTGATTGTGACTGGCTACAATAATCCTTAAGGGCAACACTGTCTGACCATTTTAGAATAGAGATCTTCCAGCAATCAATGGAACAATAAGTGTGTGCACTTTTTTCAGTGACTAATCATGCCAATCTGCAATCGGTCATCGGTGGCACAACTGCTCATTTCTCTGCAATAACCTGTGCAGTTTGGACCAGGGTATGCAACTTACTAAGACGGTTTTGAGACAAAATAGTTAGGATCACCTAAAGGAAGTTTTTATATTTATTAATATGACATTTATTGATATGTGTGGCACCAACATTACTCTTCAGGGGCGGACTGACTGTTTGGAAACTCGAGCACTGCCTGAGGGCCCGGGGTCAGTAGGGGGCCCCGCGAGATGCCCCTGGTACCTTTTTCATAGGCTTTTTTGAGTTTGGGCAAGGACACAGGGGCCCCATGATCCCCTATTGCCCGGGGGCCCCATGAGTTGTCAGTCCACCCCTGTTACTCTTTCAACAAATCTAAAAGACTCAATAATAAGAGAGAAGTAGAATGTGTTGCTTACTTACTGGCAAATGCCCAAGCAGTGGTGTGATACTATCAGAAACATAGACGATACTTCCATCTGTGGTAAGTGCAATAATGAAGCCATCAAGAGCCTACAACATAAAAAAAGGGTTGCATCTATTTGTCCTCATTTGAAAACAGAATATTGCTACTTTTCACTCATATTTTGCCACCAGAAGCCTACTATTTTTTGATACAGTCTTGTGTGCACTTATTCTGAAACAGCCATCACTGACTTTCATCCTGTGTGCATCAGTTTTTATCTTTGGGTGGGACTAATTCTAATGCATGCCATAAACATAGCAATAAATAGATGATCAAATGATTTGATCATTTCAATCAATCTTATCCTTGAAACAAATGTTTAATACAACAAAGAAAAGAGATGGATTTGCTCTAATTGCTCATCAATAAAAATTATCTTTTACTGGAAAGGGAAGTGAAACATTCAGTTCTACTGCCTTGTCCATCTGCTGGTCAAAATTCAGGAGATCTTGCTTGCCAGCAAGTGAGCAGTAACATAATTTCATCTTGCTAGCTCAGTCAGTGAGAAACAACACCACCAAAGCAGGTGAGTGTTTTTGCTGTTTTCTTGGTGATTGTGTTGCTGGCAATTTTCCTCCAGCAAGAGGGTTGCTAGTATTACTTTGGAGCAGGGGCGGACTGACCATTTGGAAACTCGGGCACTGCCCGAGGGCCTGGGGTCAGTAGGGGGCCCCACGAGATGCCCCTGGTACCTTTTTCATAGGCTTTTTTGAGTTTGGGTAAGGACACAGGGGCCCCATGATCCACTATTGCCTGGGAGCCCCATGAGTTGTCAGTCCGCCCCTGCATTGGAGATAAGGATAAGGTTTGCCACTTTTTTCTGATTGATATACAGAGATGAACCTGAGAGATTAATTAAGGTATACTAATAATGTAAATTCTGTTTTACTTAACTAAAACTTACTTTACTAATAAAACATCATTCATAGTAAGAGTAAACCTTGAAATACAGAGCTCCTGATATGCTTGCAAGTCTATACAGAGCAATTGAGGCCAACTTTGGCTCCTGAGAATTTAATATGGAAAATATTTTCCCCTATTAAATGAACGTGGAGAAAGACCAACACACTCCAACAATACAATTAGCATATATAATAAATTGGGGAAGGAGGGAGACTTCTTACCTCCAGCATCAGCTGAGTGAACTCTTCATTACTGAGAAATGATGGCTTCCAGTTTGGATGAATATCTCTAATCTCTGTCTGTGCTGTAACGTCTGTCCACACAGAAAAATATTTTTAAAATGATATTTTAATAATACTCATCAAGCATTGATTATGGGTCACAACTACAATGATCCCAGATTACTGAGATTTTTATTGTATGAGCTGAATGATAAATATATTCCACCACACACCATATCAGAATGGACCAATTGATTTCAGGGTGATGTAGCTGGTATTATAGCAAAAGAGGGATACAATATGTTACTACCTAGGTGTGCTAGCAACATATTTCATGCTTGTTGTATAAGTAGCTCTAGGCTGCAAACACATACAAGTTTATTCAATAAAAACTGTGTAAAGTTTGTAATAATGTACAATGTGATGTCAATCATAGCAACCAATTAGGGAACTCTTTGTCAAGGCTCACTGCACAGAAGAATAGCATTTGTAAAAGTATCCTAAGAGTAATAAATATAGAGAGCATATAGGAAGAGGCCTATAACAGGTACAAAAAGGCTATAGAAAAAAAACATAACACAAAGAAGGTAAAAGCCCACTGCGTACTAAAATATGTGTTTTACAACAAATAACTCACTACCAGCAAATAAGAACTCAGTTTATATACACTCCATATTGAGAAATCATTAAATTTATTCTTATGTCATCTTTACTTGTAGGTCATTCCACCATTTAAAGCGGTACTGCATGGCATCTGAGCACCACAAACCAAAAAAGGCTCCTTAATTCATTTTTAATATTCAAAGCAAACTCCCCAATCCATCCATGTCTCCATGCTTTATTTTGCGGAGAAATCATTTTGAAAACCACCCCTAGAAATCTGGCAGTGGCCATCTTGAGTAAGGTGAGATGATTCATGTTACATTTACTTCCTGGAATCCATCTAACTGTAGCCCAGGCATTGGCTGAGCTGAGAACCCTCCCTCTACTCCAGCAGACTCCTGGGATGTATGACATCATTTGCCTAGGCATGGAAACCAGGAAGTAACTGAAGAAGTGTCAAAAAAAGTTTAAAACAAGTAAATATAATATACTTTCCTATCTATTTACTAATGCTAACAGCAAAAGGATTAAAAATAATCCATGTTGATTGAGAGGGTGAAGTTCCACTTTAATAAACAGTTACGTAAACTATTCACTGCATGCTGAGCTGTCATCTATGATTGAATTTTTAACTGAACCACACAGCATACCTTTCATCTCTGTTGTATCAGCTATAGAGAACTGGAAAACCCCTTTTAAACAAAGAAATATTACACTTTTGTTACCAGGGTAAACTCAATCGCGAATCCTTCTGGTTGCAGGGCAGGAATCTGAATGGCTTCTAACATCAAAATCTGTAACCTGACTAATGAAGTATCTTGGCGCCAGAGTGTAGCCTTACTGATAAAGAGGTAGATATTACATTTTAGTTTTTACAAGTAAAAACTCTCGAACTTTAGTAAATGCTTTTAATTATTACTGTTGATGATGCAATCAGCCAGTTTTCAAACCGTACTAATATAAATCATTTCAACTCTGTAACTCTGTATCTCTCAAATTCACTCTTTTTAACTAACATAAAACACCAAGCAACTTATTCACTCCCTTGTTATCTCTCGCCTTGACTATTGCAACTCCCTTCTCATAGCCTTACTTCTCCTTAAAACTATTCCCCCTTCAGTCCATCATGAATGCTACTGCCAGACTCATCTAACTTATCAACCGCTCAGTGTCTGCCACTCCTCTCTGCCAATCCCTTCACTGACTTCCTATTGCCCAGCAAATTAAATTCATACTACTAAAAACAACATACAAAGCCATCCACAACTATGCCCCCCAGCTATGGCACCAAACTTATCTCCAAATATCACCCAAACCATCCTTTTCACTCCTCCCAAGACCTCTTGCTCTCAAGCTCTCTTGTCTTCTCCCATGCCCATCTCCAGAGTCTCTCCCATACTCTGGAGCTCTCTACCTCAATCTGTCTGGTTATCTCCTACTCCTTCTGCCTTTAGGCTATGCCTGAAAACTCATTTCTTCACACCTTTAACTAACTGAACTTTTAACTCTTACATAGCTGCGCAAACTGTTGGCACTATATAAATCCTGTATAATAATAATAAAATGCAGTTTGTAAATATGAGTCATAGATAATGTAACTCTTTCACATTCTTTTCAACATCTCTGCTATATACATCACACAAGTCATTACCAACAATTACATACATAATGACACATACTGAAAAATAATATACTTTCTCTTCAACAAGAAGCTGACAATATTTAGATCCTCACACAAAATCCTCACACAATAGAGCAAATAAACCTACTGTAGTTTATCAAGGAAAAATTAAATGAAAGTACTGCAGAGCACATGCACCCACCAATATATTGTTGCTATTCAATACCGCTCCGGCAGCTGTCTGTTCCCAGATGAAGTAGGTGGCAGTGTGGTGCGTGATTCAGCACATAACATGGCTCCCATTTTTTTGTTTTGTACAAACTTTCTTTGAAGTGTATGAAACATATACTTCATTCATGGCAATGTACAGCAGCACGATGCACTACGCTGTTGTACATTGCTATGCGGTTCAGCATGCACTGTGATAAAATGCAGCATGTCTGCATTTCATTGCAGCATTCTGCAGTGTTATGGTGTGGATAGGAAACCTAGGAAGCAATTATATCCTGTGTGTCCTTGCGGTGACAGACGTTTTACATTGCAGTAAAATGTCTGTCAGTGTGCACTGTGTGAATTAGTATGAATTCGCACTGACTTGTGCTAAAATACAGGAAAAAAAAGGATGTTCATTTTCATCCATTTTAAGCTTGTTTTTGGCTGAATTCACACTGATTTGCAAATGCAGGAAAATGGGTGTGCATTCTCCATCCATTTTATGTGTGTTGTAATTTGCATTGATTTGCATTTTAGCACACTTGTAAACTGCAGGTCAATGCATAGACAAATAAAAAACAATCATTTTTTATGTGTTCTGTTCACGTTACAATGCTGCGCTGACCTGCGTTACGTTAAAATGCAATATGTATGCACTTTAACTCAACACAGGTCAATGCAGCGTTTGTAGTGTGAATAGGACAAATACAAAACAATTGTTTTCTATGTGTCTATGCATTGACCTGCATTTTACAAGTGCGCTAAAATGCAGATCATTGCGTGTTAAAACGTGCATAAAATGAATGGAAATGTACATCCATTTTCCCTGCATCTTATTACAAGTCAGTGTGAATTCAGCCTAATACTGTAGAGCAAGAATGCTTAGCTGTTGCTGGTGACTGAGAGGTAACCTAATGAACAATGATATTTTTAAGAGGGAATTAAATAAATCCAAAGACAAAGTAATGAGACTTACCAAACGGCGGCATACTCAGGTCACCTGTTATTTTTCATATCCCAGCCGCACATATCCGTGCCTAACCTTTTGAGCTTATTTGACCGCTACCATTTCCTCTCTAATTTAAAAATTAACTACAATAAATCAGAGGCCTTGAATTTAACTGTCTGCTCTTCCTCCTTAGCCCTCGTTAAGCAAAATTGCTCTTTTAAGTGGGTCCCTCTAGCCCTTAAATATTTAGGTATTTGGCTTACTCCAAATTTGGAGGATTTGTACAAGCACAACTTTGTTCCCTTATTATGCAAGATTTGGAACGATCTTAAAATCTGGCATGCAAAAACCTTCTCATGGTTTGGCAGAGCAGCGATCATCAAAATTAATATTCTCCCTAGGATACTGTACTGTATGAATGTTCTCCCTATTAGGCTCCCCTCCATCTTTTTTAAGCAATTACAGAAGGCTCAGAAAGCCTTTGTGTGGGCCAAAAAAAAACCATGGATTCGCTTTTAACTAATCACATGCACACTAAAAGTTCCGATGGTATGGGGTTGCCAGACTTTAAAAAGTATTATTATGCTACTCACATTACCAGAATCATAGACTGGAATTGTCATTCCATACATAACACTGGGTTTCCCTTCAAAGCCCCTATTCTTCAGCTCCTTTAAGATTTTCACCATGGTTGTCAAAGTGCAACTTTAGATGCATATCATGATCTTGCAAAGTTTGAGGGTTTTGCTAGCGCTCCAAGCTCCCTCACCCCCATTGCTGATAATTCCAAGTTTCCCCCTGGGTTGGAATGTGGAGTGATTCCGGTGCACGAGTCGGGTCTATTTCTATTGGCAACTCATTGTCTCAAGCGAGGGGGAGTTAGGTCCAAAGGAGAGCTTCAGGAGATATGCAGTCGGGTTTTCTCTTCCATGCTGGACTTATTTTCAAATACATAATTACTTGACTAACCACAGACGAAGGGCAGACTTCTCCAGACCTTTTACGACTCTAGAAATGCTATGTCTGAAAGGGAAACCCATTGACAAAACCACCTCTTTGGCCTATTCTTGGCTTCAAAACAATCTTTCTGTCACCCATGACAATTTTCGGCTAGGTTGGGAATCAGCCTTTCAGGCAGAGTTCTCCGATGACCAATGGAGAAAAGCCTGCATTTTTTTTCACAAATGCTCCATCAGCACCAGGACTCAAGAAACCTCCTACAAATTGTTAATGCATTGGTACGTTACGCTGGACAGGTTAATGAGGTGGTTTCCCCAGACGTCAGGCTTATATTGGGGCTGTGAGTCAGCGGAGGGCTCCTTGTTCCATGTTTGATGGCAATGTCCAGGACTTAAACCATTCTGGGATGAAGTTCGAGAGGTGATCTACTCTATTACGGAGACTGCATTGCCCTTAACTCCTGAATGTTGCCTCCTCTATATTTCTGAGTGCTCGAACGAAATCGTACAAAAGATCCTTGGTGCGGCACCTTTTGAAAGTCCTTAATTCCCAGACATTGGAAGACCACTCATACCCCCTCGATTCAAGACTGGATAAGAGAGGTTAATGTTAAAAAGATATAAAGGGCTGATGGGCGAATAGCTCTTTTCCTCTTTTGGATGTGTGGGTCATGCTGGTGATTTCTGGGCATCTCTTGCGGAGATGGGTCTGTCCTTACTTATGCTATTCTCTTGCTTTCTTTCCTAGCTTTTCATTTTCCTCTGTTCTTACTTTTCTTTCTATCAGATTTGATGATTATACCTGCAAATTGTAAACGTTTTACCATGGGAATGCTTCCTAATGTTTTGATTATACTACTGAGTTTGCTCCGTAACAAATTTGTAAACTGTGTATTACATGATATGATAATATGCTATGCTTTCTTGTAGCTCATTCTTGTTCATATGTTCTGCTTTTTCTTAAGCCAATTGCTTAACCCCCCCCCCCCAAAAAAAACAAAACAAAGTAATACTTAAATGTTCACAGTCTCGCTGGGAGTGATAAAAAAAAGATTAACAGAAGGGAGGCATAGAGGGGAACAGCACAGTGGCTACATGGTTCACACTTCCACCTAGAAGCACAAGGGTTGTTGGTTCAAATCCCAACCACTACACTACCTGCCCGGAGTTTGCATGCTCTCCCTGTGTCTACGTGTGTGTTTGCTCCAGTTTCCTTCCACACTCCAAAGACATGCTGGTAGGTTAATTGGCCATACTATATGAAGGAATATGAGTTAGGGACCTTCAGTTGTATGCTCCTTGAGGGCAGGGACTGATGTGAATGTACAAATATATGTGTAAAGCACTGTGTAAATTGACAGGGCTATATAAGACCCTGTAATAAAATAAATGATAAGATAAAAAATCTTAGGCATTTGGTCATGTGATCAGTTGACCAAATTTTAGGACTATTGCTTACAAAAGTAGTACTGGATGGAAACCAGACCATCATTTTTTTTGCCTGGAAATGCAGATATTTCAGCCATTCTAATAATCTTTATCAATTGAAAAATAAAGTTATCATATTATTCATTTTATTTCCACTTCAAAGATCCTTATCCTACTTAAAAGATAAACAGGAAATTCAATAACCAATCAGAAACCAATGAGAATTTATCATCCACTGAATAAATTTGAAAATGTTTGCTTTGAGATACTGTAACTAATAACTGCCATATAATTTGACCGATTTCTCTGTCCAAACAGCTATTGTTCCCTTGTGAGGTAAAAGGTAGCTTCTGCTGGTACCGCTCTCCTTCTCACCCTTCTCTCTCCATTCACAGAAATCCAAACATTGGACCAAGCAAAATGTTCATGTTTATGGCTGTGCTACCTGATCCTGCTGTTTAAGGGTCCCTGCAAGTCTGACCACAATCTTAGGTCTAGAGGCAACTTTAGTCTTTACTGCCCACTTGTAACAGCACAAAAAGATAACTTTACCTTTTACCTTTTGTCCCTGCAAAACAATATAATCTATTGTACTGAGACTATATTGAGAAGCATTATAGAGCCGAAAGGTGTTAGAGACGAACAAGGAATAAAAAGTGCTGTGTACCATGTTTAATTAACCTACTACCCACCCATAGCCTTCCAAATAATCTCACTTGTAGACATAGCCCATCTCCAGGCTGGGAGCCTTCCCCCCTTTCTTACCCTTCACCACTCCTGGTGCCCCATGTTTTTTTCAAATGTGTGTACATACCCTATTTCCTGATGACAGTCATATGACGTAATGTGTGCTCCTCACTATGCCTCACTTATGCAGTGATCACACAGTTCTCTGCGGCATTCACCTGTTATCACAGGATGGCTTGATGACATACCCCAGAGGGGTGTTACCTTGATTCCCTAGACTCAAAGGAAGTGGGTTAAATAATGCTCGGTGTCACTTATCCAGGAAGAGGCCCAGCACTGAATCACAAAGCAGCAAGTTTTCAGAGAACAGTACTGGGGATAGGGAACGTTTTGCAGCTGTTTTTCTTTAACTTGAGTAGGGTAATTCAGTTATTTCAGTTGGAGTTGGGAAATCTTCTCCCTTTGCAAATTCTAGTTGCGTATGTGATTCAGCCCAGCAGGGCCTTAGTCATAACCATACATGGTGATTTTACCCTATGTTAAAGCATTGTAATTATCCCAAGACTGGGTGCCAGTGTTGTCTTCTACAGTTGTCAATTGGGCAGACAGGAGCCTTATCTGCAGCACCAGTCAGCTCTCACTATCCCTTATGGATAACTTGGGCTGAGTGGCAGTAAGTTGTATTTATTTACAAGTTCTAGTTACTTGACTGTCATGCTAACTTCTTAATTTCACCACCATCTGAGTTGCTGACATGGAATAATTATGCAGATCAGGAGTTCAAACTTCTACATATACTACTATATATATAAACATCAACAGTCATTTACCATTGTGCTTTTGTAGGAAGCCAATAACTTTTTCCAGTACGGTGGTTTTGTCCATCTTGCGGGTGTTTCCAGGCAGCATGGTGCTAAGTTCTTTGATAAGAACATTAAACTGGTCCCGTCTCTTTTTTTCTGATTTGTTACGTGAAGCCCTAAGTTTGTAAAAAGAAAAAGCAATCAAAAATTTAATATAACTGGCCTAACTTGAGAAAATACCTATCAGTGTTGCCCACTGTAATGAATTAAACTAAAAATCCTTAGTTATATTTTCAAAACCGCAGTAGACAAATAAAACAAGATTGTGACTGGTGGTTATGGACTCTGACTCTTTCTCTCAAAACCTTTTTTATGAGTACTAAGAGAGATAATGACATTGAATTATCACATATAACAGACAACTCAGATCGTAGGAACCACTCCCCCCTCATCCAACAATCCATATAATAAGTAACTGAAGATTAAGCACTGCAATATGGGTAGGCAGTATGTGCCTATGATCTGTCTGTTAGTAAATTGGTATTTTCTTAGGACATTTGAGGAGCTCCTGGGATGCTCTGCAGGGTCAGAGTGAAAAATATCAACTATGTACTTGCACTTTAATAAAGCCTTTGTGTGAATGCCCAATTTTGTTTCACACTTGCTAATGACAGGTTTGCCTGGGACACTATAAATATGTCTGCCTTACCTCTTTACCCTATCCTTCTCGTCTTCATCCATTAGCTTCTCTATGGAGCTATTCCTGTGAAGAGAGAAAAAAATTGAAGCTTACATGGAAAACACACTAATGCTTTTTGTGTGATATAAAATGAGTCAATATAATATTTTGCTGGAACTTAAATCCCTGGCAAACCATCAAATGTTTCATTTTACACCTTGGGCACACATTTTAATTGGAAAGCAGCTATGGAAATGACTATTAGAATCAACAATTAAGGCAGTTCCTATTTTCTCCATAGTTTATCTCTCAGCATATAAAGTACATTACAAATTTAATACTACATCTGTCAATAAATCATTATCTTGGGTAGTTATTCTTTATGTGAACTCAATGTGAACTAAAAAATTCTAAATTTCAAAAATACAGCAGCTATCTAGTTGATATATATCAACCTACAATATATGAAAAAACTAGACAGCATTATGTAATTTAAATGCGTGATGTCAAGTGCAGAAGCATTTTCTAGTTAGTCTCTTTTCACAGAGGGAACACTAATAAAATATTATTATCTATCTATCCTATCACATCATATTTGGTATTAAAGATTATGAGCAGGAGTATTGGCATTTTGTGTAAAAATAGTATGAACCTACCATGCCAGATGCTTTGGCATTTTGTACAAAACATATCATAAGTAAAGTGCCTTTACATATAGTGCATATATAACAGACTTATAAAGTGAAGTTTTTGATCCTGTGGTAGTGCAACAGGCACATCCAGATTTCCAATGCTTTGGAATTACCTGTTTTAGTTGGTATAAGAAAGGATCAGGATTGATTTTTTACAAACTTTAGAAGGCCCAGAAAGTAAATATATCTGTGGAGTATTTGGAGCATTGGTAAAGTGGCAATCATGGTAAATTGCTAGAATTTCTATTCCAAAATGGCGCAATTAAAGTGCATCCCCACCATGTGTTAATACAAGTGCCTTTTTTTCTGAGGCAACATCAACATGTATCTGAGGTGAATAAAAAAATGTCACAGAGCTTTGTGGAGTATTAATACCATCTGGTAAGTATTTTATTATTGCAGCCTTGTGCTTCAAAGAGAATGGGTGTGGATAAGAGTTAATGCTTTCTTGCCAGTGTTCCACAGAAAGAGATATTCCACTGCCCTTTTCCCAATAAAGTTGGAATGAAGTCAAAGTGTGTTCCTTGTAAATCAGTTGATATAATAAGGAGATTGTATATTGTGAAGGTTGCATAAATTATCAAACGCCATGAGTGTTGTACAGTAGATTATAGTGCATTTCTAAAATGCTGCAGAGTTTCAGGCTCCATTCACATATAGGCGTTTTGAATTGTGGGTGGGTTCGCTGCGATTCTGCCCAAAATTTCAAACGCACTGTTAAAATGTCAAATTCCACATCAGCGTGTTCAGATGCCATTCACTTCAATAACAAATAAAAATGCGGTGCGATTCTTCTGCGATTGCTGCACAAGTCACGCTGTAAAATGCGCAAACCAAATCACGCAACGAGTGTCTCCCAAAAGAGGTTCCAGAACTTCTTTTGGGTGACACATGTTGTACAATTTGGTTTAAAAATGCCTATATGTGAACAGAGCCTCAGTGTGCTTTTGAGGATACAATTTAACCACAGTTACATTTAAAGTGGTTGTAAACATCTGACATGAAATATGATCACTCTATAGGCTGCTTACACACAGATCAGTTTTTCTTCCACTTTTGCTTTACCAAAAGCAGAAGAAAAAATCATTACCAATATCTCCTATGGAGCTTTTCACACCAATCAGTTGCCTTTTTAAAAATTCTGCTTGCTGCATTTTTGTGCATGTTTGGTGCATTAACAAAAATTCACCAAAAACACACCTCCCCATTGAAAGAAATGGAAAATGCATCAAAAGCCGCAGTTGTTATTTTGAGTCACATGTCCTTTTTTCACAAGTGAAAAGGGCACTGGAAACAAGGGATAAAAGCATCAAAACCGTAGCCCCTTGCTTTCTTGAACCTCAGACCAGCTATATAAATTCTGCGCTTTGAACAGATGTAGAGAAGAGAATACTGAAGATAAACAGGTTCAAGTTATGTATGAGAATTTGTTTAATCTTTCTCTATCACCTGAGGACAGTCACTTCACTATTTAAAGGTTTACAACCACTTTTAAATCTTCAGGTCTTTTTGACTGTGGAAAAAAAAAAAGTGAATAGGCTCTAACACTCTAGCCTCTTCCTTTCCCCCTCTAAGTAACTCCTGGCATAGACAAAAAAAAAAATACCTAAAACAATCTCAATCACTGTTTACGTGACATGGACACATCCTCTCTCAGGATTCAGAAGATGAGTCTAAGCAGACATTAGAAAAAGAGGACTGGCCAGCATGCACACATTACACTGGATTACTGGTTCCTCCACATCCAGAATTGACGTTGGTAAGGGACACTTTGGTTAGTAAACAATTGCTTTACTGAACATGAAAAAAAACACTGAATGAGTAAAACGACCAATGTAAAATAATTAGAAACATAATATACAAATCATACCGAACTATAAAAATATTAAAGTGGTTGTAAAGTCACATGTATTTATTACTTTTATCCTCTCTGTTTTAGGTCCATGTTCAGTGCAGTGTGTGTGTGTGTTTTTTAAAAATTGTAATCCTAAATACCTTCTTTGCACAGCGCTGCTGTGCGGTCACATGTCCTCCCCCCATTCTCCTTCCTGATCTAAGGGAGTACAGTGGGAGGGGGTGAAATGCCCCATCTGACATATGCAAGATAGCAGAGGGAGGATATTTATACATATATATACAGTATACTCTCCACACATATATACAGTATATATATATATATATATTTGTTTTTTTTTCCCTCAGAGAATAGGTGCAGGAACCCATACTTCTGAGTCACCTCTGGTCTCCGCCCCCAATCCACCTCCCGGTTTTAGAGAATACAGAGCCAAGTATCAGTTTGTAGTGCTAAGTAATTTGTTTGGAATGTGTTAGTGATAACAAGAAAAGCAGTAAATTAGATCTCCCGAAGCCAGCAGCAAAAGGCCCTCCCCAGCAACAATAGTACCCCTTAGCAACAATGGACTCTAGCAACAGTGAACCGCTGGCAGCAACAACAGATTTTCCAGCAGCCAGCATCAATGAACTCTCTAGCATCCAGCAACAATATACCCTTCCTCAACAGCAGATCCCTTTCAGCAACAATTGACCCCCTCAACAAAATAAGCCCCCCAGCAACAATAGACCCCCCACCAGCAACAATAGACAGCCACACAAAAGTAAATGCCCTCCAGCAACAATAGAACTCACAGCAGTCAACAACAGTATATCTCATTCAGCAACAGTTGACCCTCCGAGCAACAATAGATCTCCCCAGCAACAATAGACCACCATGCAAAAATAGACCCCTCCAGCAACAATAGATCCCGCAGCAACCAGCATCAATAGACCCTCTAGAACACACAGCACCCCATGATATCACATACATTCAGTGCTAGAGGTGCCAGAACTGCGTTCCCCCCCATTCCTGCTGAAAAAAAAGCCCTGTATATGAGAAAAAGAGAGCGTATATGCTCTGCATGCTATATAGCTTTATAATTTACAGTATACTGCAATATATAGGTACACATATACAGTATATATATATATATATATATATATATATATATATACACACACACACACTGTATAAATACTTGTTCAGTGTAGAATAAAGTATTGCAGAAAATGTACAATCAACAAGTGAGGAGGCTTTCTCAGTTATCTTCTAAAGATGTTAGAGATTTGAAAAATGTTGTTATGACATTTGAACACTATTAACCAATAGTAAGTTCTGTACACAGGTGTGCTTGTAGAATGGTTGACATTTGTTACTGCTGAGCCCTAGTTCACACCACTGCGACTGCAGGTTCAACATGCGATTTAAAAATAGCACCAGAAGTAGCATCTAAATTTCTATTTCTATTATTTCTAGGACACTGTCTTAATAGGTGTGATTTCAAGTAGCGTGATTTGAAAAATAGTTCCAGCATTACTTTTTCACCACTTCAGTGTGATTTAATTCTCATAGACTATAAGGTAAATGGCACTGAAATCAGCTCTACTTTGAAGTCACGCTTTAAATGGGACCAAATCGCACCACTCTGAAAAGTGAACCAGGCTAATACTGAATAACTGTCAATAAAGTTACAAACCTTTGTTGTCCTGGCCAGAAGAAGAAAGCCACCATTTTTTGGTCTCTTCTTATCACTTCAGAGAGGCGAGAGCTGCATGGTACATCACTGAATAATTTCAATTTCCTACAGAAATTTTTCTAGGGTGCCCGTCCTCTTTTGCCATGCTAAACTGGATTAGCCTGCTCTCAGCAAAAACTAGGTCAGTTAACAACATTGTTGAACAGTGATGATATAATTGCAGTAGATTGTTAGCAATCATGTTTCATATATGCCAACATATATGTTGACATTTAAGGAATGTAAGTTTTTCTCTCAGCAGTTTTTGGTATTTTAGGGCTGGGGTAGGCGGTCAACCAAAACTTTGTTTAAAATATTACTTGAATTTGAATTTGAGTTCAACTATATCAACATTCCAGAGAGACTGATGCATTTAAAATTTTCACCAAGGTGCACACATGCTTGTCACAGTTAACTTCCAAGCCCACCTATATTCTACATTTTCAACAAAATTTAAGTTTACTGAAAGAGGTTGCTTTATGTAAAATGGCTCACATTGATACACAGTGATTAAAAAAATAACAATAGAAATCAAACAAATGAAATTGTTTGAAGTAAAAGATCAAGCTTCAATTTGAGATTTTAGGCCTCAGTGGTAAGAGCTGGTGCGCCCACTGAATTGCTATTGACTTTTACCGTGCTATTGTTTACCACCGCACCATGTATTAAGGTTTTGATTTTGAAAGGCCTGTGTTCCCCCAACTACTACAATGAACCACAAACAGGGCATTTTTAAATAAAGGGGTAATAAGTGAAATGCTTGATCTGTCAGGAAAGGGTGCCCACCCAAAAAAAGCAGCT